CTTGGTAATGCAGAGCAGTTGGCGCCGGCACTTCCAAAGTTCGCCGAAGAGTTCCTGGCCGCCATGCAGGAAGTTGATCCTACCGAGGAAAAGGCTACTGCCTTTAAGGGGTTCACATTGATTGTTGGGCAGAACCCACAGGCTCTGGAGAAGGTCTTGCTGGAGTTTTTCGTCGCCATTGCTCGTTATCAAGACATGAACTTGAGGAACCCAATCAAGCAAGAGCTACATGAAGTGTTCCGAAATGTAAGAATATACTCTACCCTCTTCCCCAACACGCGAGAGTACTATTGATTCTGACCATCATAACGCAGGTTCTTAACGTCTACAAGCAAATCATTCCGACGTTTGACGATTTCATCAACCAATTGCAGCCACAAGATCAGCAGGCCCTGAAGACCCTTTACGCGATATGAGAGCGGAGTTCGTTGGGGAAGCACACAGTCGCAACTGGAAAGGACGGAAAGAAAAATGAAAGTTAGCGCTGGACGCAGGAACGTCGGGACGGCCTTGAGACGCTGTTATCTCCGACAAGTCTGATATGCAGAGGTCATGTGTAACCCTGAGGCTTAGTGGGAGGAATGTAATGGGACTGTTTAAAAAGAAAAAAAGAAACCCCCTCATAGCGATACATTTGCTGCCCGTCGATTCCATGGAAGAAAAAAAAGGGTAGGTATGATTGGATTTGACTCGCTCACGGGGTGCATTCATGGGAGGAAGAAAGGAGGGAGAGAAAGCGCCCGCAGAGCAAGATGAGAGATGAGATACCTTGGAACGAAGTGACAATGGGGAAAAAAGAAGAAGAAGAGAAAAAAGCTTCTTAAAATCTGCATGGCGGAGGAAATTACGGGAATCAGGTGTCATGATGTCTATTTTTTTTACTATTTTTGGGAGAAGAGGGTGCCATGGATGGGGGCTGCAAAACCCATACCCTTTATAGATAGATATTTCTTTTTTTTTACTCCTATTTTTTTTGAAACTCTTTCGGCCATGTGTGAGTGGCGAGAGAGAGAGAGAGAGAGAGACGCCGTGTATGCGTTAGCTTTTTTTTGCGTTGCCGGTGGTTATCCCATAGTAGTTACTAAGTATAGGTAGTTTAGAATCAAAACAAACACGATGTTTTTTTATATCTAGATGGTTACGAGTTTCAATATACTTTCTGGTAAGATACCTTTATCTAGCATTGCTTTTACTGTGGTTGTTTTCATTTATTATCACCGGCTTCATCTACTTTGTTTCTGCATCTAGTATTGTCAGCTCCATCTATCCGTGAACGAACGAATACAACTTATATAAATGAGTGTCTTGATTCAACTGCTCTTCATTGCGTATCCTTAGATGCTGAATAGCAACCGGCATTCCTTTCTCTTGTCATAGCTCAAGGCTAGTTAAAACCCCTATTTTCATCTGTTCCCATTGTAGGCAGACACATCTGGGTTCCAAGTAATTGATGTATAAAGACAGATCCTGTAGCCACTCATCCTTCTTTCGACTCTTGCGTTTCTTCCAAAGATGAGCATCATAAAGCCGGATTTAAGTCATAGATGGGATAAAATCTCTGCGGCGCAGGAATGGTCCATCTATCTTGATTGACGAGATAGGGACATTCCATCCCCCTTGATTAGGAGGTTCACGTTGAGCTCAGCACCTCTTTTACTCTTGTATAGCTACAATAGAGACTTTGAAATCCTCACCTTTTCGTAATGAGAAGCCCATATATCCAAGTTCCTCGCTCATCATCTTCAACCAAGCAAAACTACAAAGATACACGACTCTCTTCCTCCTTATATCCATCATATAACATCAAACCCACGCCAATCTCAACCTCCCCGTCCTTCCTCCAACAACAAAACACCTTTCAAACGCCCAGCACAACACAATCCTCATTCACCTACCTATTCCAATAAATCTCTCCTCTACTTCTCAAGTCTCTCCCAAACACACTTCTCATTCATACACTATCCCCTCCCCTAAACGTCCCACTTCACAATCCAACTATACGCACTCTTTCAAAATCCACAATCCGTCACAACAACAATTTGCACATCATCAACTTTACAATTTCACGTCATTTAAATCACTAATACCTGATTACTCTTCTACAGGGACCGGACTTGATTAGCTCCGAAAAATAACCCACAGGTTATCCATCATCTTATAAGCGTCAACTAATCGAACACGCATCACGACAACAATCCGCCCAACATGACGCCGATCATTGCTATATACGAAGTCATTCTTCAACCGATGCCATCAGCATTCATTTAATCGACATAAGTAGCAAACAATCAACGACTCAAGACCCTAAGGATGTAGACAAAACAACGACGCCCGCCAACAATCCACCCATCATAAGCAATACGCGAAATTGCCGGCAACGCAAGCAATACAATACAACTACGATAGCGAATTTATCTCCGCGACATCTGCTCCGGAAAGCCCACGGCATGTTCCGTCAGCGCAAAACACAGATCCCCATCCAAATCTGACTAAAGGACACTTCATCAAACTCTTTTTCAACTACCTAATCCACTTTCGAGGTTTGAGTTGCCCAAAAGAAGAAGAAAAAGCATCGCCCACATAATCTCTCGGGATTTTGTTATCACACAAAGTTTTTTCTTCCCCCTTCCCCTGGCTCATCACACGGGAAGGGCGAAGAAAAAACCTTGTCTTGCCCCGTACCTGTAAGCATTTCAAATCTTCTTACCCATCTCCTTCCGCTCCGTCTCGGAAAGATGTATCACATCATGCAGGGAAGATACCGGGTTGCCAAGAAGAGATGCCGGTGTACAAGGCAAGACGGGGGCAAAAATAGAAATACAAATAATATTAGAAAGCAACGAAAAGAAAGAAGAACAAGAGAGACAAAAAAAAAAGGCCCGTTCTTGAATCGCGCTGCAGCTGACAGCTACGCTTACAACAAGACCCAACTCGCCCGCGAAAAGCCTATCTGCATCACCACATCTAACTTCCGAGTGAACCGCAGGAGCCACTTGCTGCTCACTGATGGTCATCAAGTGGGCGCAACTAGGCGAACCCGAAAGCGAAGAAAACGAGTGCCTGTTTTTGCCCCTTGGCGCAGTCAATCGCAATGAGTTTATTCCAAGTACCGAGTCAGACGTGGTTCGAGATCCGGTACTCGATAGTGCAGATGACTAGCCCGTTGCCTCTTTTCGTATCTTGCCGCCCTAGTTGGAGGCTGTAAACGAAAACGAAACCCAAGTGCTTCATTCCAGCAACCCAATTGACCTTCTTACTATCAGCACATAATACTGTAATAGTAAGCGAGAAACGTGCATACGGACTTACACGGTAGGGGGGTATCGAGTCAAAAATCTACAAGCATGCATATTCTCATGCAATCCAGGGTGGCAAAGCTCAGTGCCTTTCGGAAGACTACCGATAGCAAACGGCCTCTCCTCGAGGGCAACCAACTTTCAATGTACTGTAGTACCTGTAGAGTCCGGAGACATGATCCCATCACCTGTCCACGCGTTCGGGTCGCTGCTGCATGCTCGATGGAGACACGTACAGGCAATGTACGTACTGCCGTACGTACTCATAGGCCTGTAGGGCCCTCTCGGGTGCATAATGTGGTGAGATGGGTAGATGCAGAACGGGCCAAAAAGAGGGTTGCACTGTCGGCTCACGCGCTATCGCATCCCATCGCAGAAGGCCATTCGCTGCACGCAGAAATGCGCCATGGCTATAAACTAGATGGCTCGATGCTATTCTTAGCTCTTGAAGGCGGCAGCCACATGTGCATGATGCAAGCTGAAGGAAACAGGTGACACTGGCACCTTATTGGAATCTTCAATCTCGTCAGGGCGGGCGAAGGAGAGGGCGGCTGCGTTTGGCCAGAAACACAGCCTGGCTGCGGTTGCGGTTCTCACCCAAGGCTTCATAAGCAAACCATATCCATGCCCGTATCAAAAATCCCGACGGGACCTACTGTAAAGGTACAGGTACAGGCACAGGCACAGGCACAAGTACAGGCACAAGTACTGTACAGGCTTGTCCCGGCCACGGCAAAAGGGGGCAGTCAGTCAGTCCCATCTGTTGCTTGGCATGTCGGTATCATGGACTCCGGCTTGTGGGCGGTTAAACCCTCACATAATTTTGAAGCATGTTTGACAAGATTGAAACAGCACCGGCAACTCGATCTCACCTGTCAGCACTTCTTTGCAAGTATATGTTTCAGAGTGCAAGGGAAATGTATTGCCAAATTAGGCAGTTACGCCAATGTCCAGCGTGTAGGGGTCAGATTCAGCCACTGTGCATGCCAGGAGTAACACGGAACGCAGAGGACATCAAGGCGCGGATGACTGCCGCAGAGAAGGGGGCAGATTTTCCAACAGAGACGCCCCCATCATACTAGGGATCAGGGCACCCGGCTGATAGAATCTGCAGGTGATTAGCCCATGGGAAAAACAAAATAAACAAGAGACGCACCTTGACCCCATTCATCGTGGGGGAGGGTTCCAGATTTCATGTACATGCTACGCTCTTGGCGGGTAGATTTTGTGGGCAAATCATTCCGCAAGACATTATTCGCCTATCATGCATCAAAGTAGTCTTTAGACGGTCGACCTCATTTCTTGCCTGTACACGTGCAATGAGTTGAAAGGCTCATATGGAGCTTCGGGGCCTCGCGCTTCGGCACTGTGCTGCTGCCAAGATGCTGTGGGCATACTCCACGTAAATTTTCCATCCTTGTCGTCTTCACTCAGACCTATCTTGGCCTCTTTTCAAGCCCAAAGACCTCGACTAATCGCACTATCATGTGTGTCTTGAGCCGAGTCGTTTGCTTCGTGCATGCAATCGGGGTCTTGTCTGACAGCGACCCCTGCGTAGCTCCGTGCACAAGACGGACCAAATCGGCTTGAACTGACTGACATGCTGCTGCTCATGCTGCTGCGGCTGACGTATTATCACTGCCATGCTCGATTGGGCAGATCAAATGACTAGCTTGACTCTGGCTAATGAGATAGCCGTCTTAGCATGAGGAGATCGCTAACCATCCGTCAAAGGCTCCGGTTTAAGCAAGCCGGCGAGAAACTAGCAACAGAAAAAAAGGGAGAAATCATCAAATGGTAACTTGGCCGTCTTGCCAAGACCAACAAGCAGGTTGCGGCCAGGCACGCCACGTCCGAAACATGGCAGACGGCAAAACCCTGCGGCAACCCATTTGTCAAGCCAAATTTGTGCTTGTGCTTGCTCTGACGCCGTACAAGGATATCATATGGCAGCAAGAGAGGCGTGACGGGGCATTGCTGATAACAAGCCCGGGGATACCCATGATGATACTGGTGACGATGCTAGCCTTGTCTAGAACCAGAGGATGCCCAGGGAATCTAGCCCAGATAGTCAACCGGGGTGCATAAGCGATACCACAAACTCCGGGTAACCTGTACGTTAGTTTGGGCCCCGGATGGGCAAAAAAAAACGCTCCCTTAATCTTGCCATTCACACATGCCCACCACCAGGTCTTCACCTTTTGTCACCCAACCCAACAGCACCAAAGCCATCTATACAGTACGAGTGTTAGGCCCGGTTGCTCTGCTCCGCACTCGCTGCTGAATCATTGCGTCTCGGGACTCTGGTTCTGCCTGACTCTGTATGGGGTGAGATATAGACACGCTCCATCTCATGGCTTGTCCGGCATCTCACCCTTCTCGATTAACTTCACCACCACGTCCTCAGCATCAGCATCAGCAACACAGCAACAGTAAATCGGGCTTGAACCAAAGGGAGACTTGGAGAAAATAGTGCTCTGCGGCCCCGCCCAGTAGTGCCACACCATTGTTGCACTGGCACCACGTTAGGGTTATTTCTATATTTAGGTGCACTACCGAAGGTTTTGTCGAAGCTCTCTCAACCAGTTGCGGAGCAGACACGCCGCTGCGGCAAAAGAACATGCAGGCTGGAAGTGCATACAAGTTGGCCCATTTTCCCTCTGGCAAATCAGCTCATCCCCAGCATTCGGAGGGGTGTTCCGTCAAAATTTGGAATTTGCTAGCCGGTGCATCTCCCCCCGCTTTGCATTTCAGTATTGTTCATGGTGACAGCATTCAATGCACGGCCATCATTTCGATGGACGTCGGCGGCGAAGAAGTTAAGGGAAGAAAGAAAGACGGCCAGGGGGGCTTACAATTCCCCCGCAAAGGGCAATGGATTGCCTGGTGTTGGCCGAAGCTCTCGGCCGATCATAGACGATCTCATCAGGAACCGACATTGACCTTGCAGTGACATAACAGGAACGCGCGGGCGGAATGTTCGGCGCTCTGTGCCTGTATGTGCATGATGCCAAACCCATCGCTGTTAGTACCGGGTCGCTTAGAGGCTTTCATGAGGCTGCCATCATACACAGTGCTTCCAACAGTAAGGGTTTGCTGCAAGGCCTAAAGCAAACAAAGCCGCGTCAGAACCAAAACCAGAGCTATCGGACCGTCTGTGAGTGATCACCTGTTCATTCGTTGGTGCTCTGAACTTCTCGTCGGCTTCCCCCCACTCCAAGGTGTACGTGCATGATAGACGGTGGTTCGCTAAAAGGCTGCATTGGACATCCGGATATATATCATCTCATTGTATATCCGCCCAGCGTACACCAAGTGTATCCAAGCTGGTGGCATAATAGAACAGATGTAAATCGAGCTTTGCTGGGCCGGCGGCGGCGCGGCGGACCCGGGCCAAGGGGCTCGCACATTCTTGCAGCCTCTCGTTATGCGACCTATGACCGGGAGATACCTAAATGATGATGGCTGACGCATTGATATCCCGCACCTTGGCCTCACATCACACAGATCACTGTGCATGCGCATGTAGACCATCATGCATTGCATCGACCTACTTCTTCAACCCTGCAGGGTAGCATAAGCCAACCAGCGTCGACAAAAGCAGTACATGGCCCTCGCGAGAAACCAAACTATCGAAAAGGCTGTGCGAGCACCAGTAACAACTTTGTCGTCTTTTGTGGCGTTCTGTGAGGTTCCCTTCCTATTCTCACCGCTCCATGTCGTGGACCGTTGCCAAGCGAGCTGAAGCATCTTCTGATAGGATTCTCCAAATGCACGCTCCCGCCCAGTCGTCAGACAATGACCGCATCCCCCAAGCCAAATGATTGGGGAGGCGGATCTAGTTGCAGCGGCCACATTCCCATCCTTCCGGCTATCGCACAGGTACGTAATGGGACATCCTTGTCACGGTACAAGTGCTGGCGGGCGGCAACACAATCTGAAATCTCAACATCCACCTCCTCTCTCCAAGTGAACAGTGTGCTCCCTGTGGGGGGGAGGAGAAACGTAGGACAGCGAGGGCACGTGTCCATGTTGCGTTTAATAAGCACTTATGGTTATAGTATCACTTTGAGTCTCATTTCGGAGATCTAGAATCTTGTCCCAGCCTTAGTCGGGTAAATCGTGATGCTGCTAGGTCGAGGGCGAAAATGTGAGCCCCATAGACTTGATTCGAGGGAAGAAAGAGGAAAAGGCCGGCGTGATACCTAGCGAGACTTTTCCATATTCAAACAGCACAAGCCCACGTCCGGATATCGGCTACCCAAAGCTGCAAAACTAGGCTGGGGAGCTTTGCCCATTCTCTCGTCGTCGTTCGGTCGCCCTGTCACTCTGTCGTACCGATTTTGTGAGCGTCGGTACAGCATGCAGCGAGATATCTTTAGCAACAAGCCAATAGGTGTCCCTTCATTGGACATCGCTTTGCCCATTAGCGCACACGTGTCGCTGCAAAGTGAAGGATTGCCGAGACACAATGTGCGAGTCGTTCTCTCGGTGGCGAGCCATGAAACGTTGCAGTTCTCCTCTTTTTCTTTTGACTTCAAACTACTTTGTCCTCTCGCCCTTTGCCCTTAATCCTCCTCCAAATTTCCCTTGCCTCTGCCTCGTTGGGTCGGCTGTGGCTTTGCCTCTTTTTTTCTTCTTTCGGCCCGCTGGCCTTGGCGGAAGTAAGTATGAGGAGCTTTTCGCTAGCCTCTATTAGCCCTTGCCGCGATCCTTCAACAGTCTCAGGGTACAGAGCCCGTACCCCAGTATTACTCCGTTTGCTCACTGCCACCATTCCACGCACAGCGGAGTTTTATCATGGTGCTTAATTGTTCCTCTTAGCAGCTTTATAGTGCGTTCATCATTGAGGGAAAGGGAAAAGTCGCAAACGCTTATTTGGAGCACGACCAGTCGACGTCATTCCAAACTGTCACAAGCCTCGATAGGTTTTGGGAGCCTCGGCGCTTTCTAGCCCCAGTGGTCCTCTTTTTTTCTTCTCTTTTTTCTTCTTTTTCCTCTTCCGCGCGCGAGATGAGTGGCTGATCTCCGGTAGTCAAACTTTATCCCATTGTCTGCATAAAAGACATTGAGTATTACTCCGTAGCCCTCAATCTGACAGTAGTAAACGCCTTCGGTGAAAAGGACTTCTGTAGTGTTTCTGCATAGTGCGGTAGGGCTGTCCCAGTTGTAACGAGTATGGCTTCTCAGTGTCAAAATTCATCCCTATCGTATCGCCTGCCTCCTTCGGGAAATGTTATGCAGCCCGGCAGTCCGGAAATACATCCTGTGGCGCGTCAAAGCTGGTCTTGGCAGCGCTCGCAGTATGTAAAGGTGCAGTCAAAAGTACCTACTTGACTTGCACAGCCTGGTTGCCGTCTGACTCGCTGTGTTGCCATCTGACCCCCAATGCCAATTGAAATTGATGTTTTGCGGTTAATATTGCCGCAAAATACTCGGTGGGCAATGAGCATTGGGAGAGTCTGTTAGTGCCGTGCAAATCTGAGCATCTCCCACTTGGCGGACAAATTACCCTATACATCTGCGAGTAGTGGGCGAAAATGGTAGGATTGACAACATCAAACGGTGGCTCGCATCGTGAGGCTAACGATGGCGAAACATGTTACGCCAAAGACTTGCTCCTAAAAAAAGAATTGCCTGGTACGGCCTCAAGGCGGGTCGCCCAGCGGACCTGGTTGGTGAAGATGACTTGAACATTCGTAATTGTCATGATATCCAATGATACGGGTGAAGCAGCACCTGAGTAGATCGTCACAAATCTCCTGCATTGATTACGGCAGCAGAATTGGGAGATTGTAGATGCCACCATCCCTAATAATGGAAACATCCAATAGGGCAACATGTTTCGAATAACACGAGCCTCTCCCTTCCATCCTTGTGGGCAGTTTGCAGCACAGCTTTCGCCAGTCTGACTAAACTGTGACTGATGAGACTGGTTGAATACACCGAACGGTCGGCCCAAATAGGGGCGGCCATGTTACTGGCGCGGAGAACGGGTTGATGCAGCCCCAGAGGCCATTTTAGGACACGAGGTTTTAGAATCTCCTTCGCGCCCACGATAATCTCGCTATAAATTAGATCTATACCTGTTCCTGAACGTTTTGGCAGCAACCCTGGGTATCCCCTGGGATTTGCTCGGGTCTTTGCTCGGGGACTCGGGTGGACCCATGAAACGTGGTTTTCCCTCTTTCCTTTCTTTCAGCTCGGGGTGGCTTTGAAAGCATGAAGCTCGGATATCCAGTCGTTTCGAGTGTATGTATCATCGTATGACTTGAATGCTGTCTAATAATACTTCAAAGTACGAAATAGTAATAAGAGCCGTGGTGATAATAATAGCAGCCCGTATTAACACTATACACACAACGTTGAGCTCACCACTGCTGCACGGAATAAGGCGCAGCGACGTGCATTCATGAATGTTATGCCTCGTGCTAGATCAAGGAGCGTCTCGCCGTGCACTCCATAGTATGGGCCTGCGGTTGCTCTCACCAACGTACTTGTAGAGTGATTGTACTGCTTTTGGTCTATTGAAGATTGCATGGTACTGTAGCAGCAGACGTCATAGAAGTAGAAAGCAGTGCATAGTACCAGATGGAGTGGTGCATCAGATGCCACGTGCCCCTTTACCAGCAAAGCCATCTGCCGGGATGCCACTTGAGGAATGAGACCAGCCCACAATATTCGTCACAAAAAGCTGAGAAATGCATCATTAACCACTCGACTGGGTTATGAAATGTTGGCCCGGAAATCTTCTTGACCTGATTGTATTCTATCGGTGTCTAAATCGAGACTGATAAAAATGGAGCTCCGGCATTGGGCATATGGCTGGTGCGTTTGCGCCGATGGCTAACACCGTGCCCCGGTAACAGATTCCCTTGGGATATCAATTTGGAATATGAGAGAGATTGGTTGCAGAAAGATTCCAAGGACTAATCGTTGGCTGCCTCCGTCGTGAATCTCTTTTCTGGACCCTTAATGCGTCTGTCTTTGCTCAGCAGGGGCTGCGGATGAAGAGCCGAGCCTCTCAGCCTAGCCTCCATACGGAGCGTGTTTTCAGGGCCCAGGGTTGTTGCTGCTTCTTGGCATGCCGTGACAAGTTTTGCGCGACCAAGCGCGATGCCAAGCTAAGAAGGCATCCTAACTGCTGAAGGAAGAGTGCGGCCTCGTATCTTTGAATAGTGAGACGATTAGACAACGCCCAAGGCTGTCGCTCATTTCCTGCAGATCAGGAACGCGCTCGATCACGGCGGGGCCAGGTGAGGAGCGTGGCTGAGATGTCATGCAATTATGCTAGCAAGGCCAGCCAACCACAATGGCGCTCGTACGGGTAAGTAACCTATTCAGGATGGCAAGCTGGGGGAGTCGCTGAATGACTCGATGCGGCTGTTTTTTGTCATTTATCCTAGGGGCCAGCCTGCCACTCAATGAGAAGCGCGCTCCGCCAGCGCGAATGCCTTCCGCTTTTGTTTGTCCGCTTGCTTGTCTGTCTCTGCTGCCCCGGCATGAATACCGTACAGGCTCAAGCATTCAATGCCGTGGGCATGGGGCGCGCGGAGCTGGGGATCACCCTTTGACAGGACTCGGGACGGAGAGTACTTGTACGGAGTACATGAGCTCCATAGGGCCGCTCCATAGCATCGCTCGGCCGATAGCTGTACCTGTACAAGTGTCAACTGGCGCGGCTGCCGATATCCGCGGTAGGATCTGCATGCAACAGGCCCTGTTCGCATATTGGAGGGGATGTACGGAGTAGCACTGCTCCATTGTTGTATATGCCTGTACAAGTAGCAAGACGGCCGCTAAGTTCTGACTGGCTTCTCGAAGACGAGGATTCGGGGATCAGCAGCGTCAGCCAAAGGACACATGTCGATGCAAGGTTCTGTTCTAATTCTGCTTACTCGTACTGGCTAGTGCTCGTACAGGCAGAAAAACTGATGCAGAGATCCAAGCGGGAGAGTTTTTCCGGCTCAGGGTTCCCGTTTGATTAGGTAGATAGGCGAGGCCGCAGGATAATCACCGCCACTGGACGGTACGGATACAAGTGGGCGCCTGGCAGTTGAGAATACTCCGTAGCACGAGGGCACGAGGGCACTTTCGTAACGTTAACCCGGCAAGGAGCGCACTGACCAGAGGCGTTTGAGATCACCAAGTGTCATGAAGCAGCTGAGCGAGCTTCGCCTCAACGCCTCCAAGCCAAACAGACGCCGGCCGCTTGGGTAAGACCGAGCGTGGCGCGCCGGCGTTCAAGCAGCGGTTGTGGCCGCAGGACGGAGATGTTTGGCGCGAGCAAGCCGCTACCAGCACTTCACTTCATACACAGGACCGGCACCAGCACCATCCCGGACCCAGCTCCCACTCACTCCCTCTCCCACTCCCACTGCCGGGGTCTCCTGGCCAAACAACTGCTGTCCGGTCTTGTCTGCTTGGAACCGGCTGTGGAAACGTGGAGCGCATTGCCCAACTCGGTGTTAACTTGGACGACAGGGAACACTATGCATCAATTGGGAGGCATACGAATAAAGGAGCAGCGAAAGGAGTCTGCAACAGGAATGCAGCCGGATACTCCGTCGCTCGATTCTTGTCTATCAACGTTTGCCCAGCCAAGCCGGTGCCGAAGCCTCCGTGGCGGCCATGCCTGAGCAGCCGGGGCAAAGCGTGGAAGCCAAGGTACTGACGATAAATAATGGAAACTTGACTTTCTGGGATGGCTCCAGTCTTTGGGTGGATACGTCGAGCGCTAATCGCTGGAACATGCCGTTTTCTGCAGCATCTGCCGCGGTGAGGTGAGCAATGCTGAGTACGGTATTGAAGCTGTAGAGTAAGTAGTGGTAGAATGAAATGCCGAGGTCAACGTGGCATGAGATGAGGCTGAAATATGCGGTTGAGACACAGATGCATTGTACTGAAGCCGGTGATATCAATTCCTTTGGGTGGTGATGCTGCTCGCTCCCAAGTTGGCATGCTGGGACCTTATGCGGACTCTTGGCAGCAGCACCGGCGGCACAGTGTGGATGGGCGCTTTCCCAAAATGGCTATTCGAGGCTGCGTGACGTCGTGCCTGCCAGAGCGGCCATAGAAAGAGGCCAGGTCTGGGCGATGCCAAGATTAGTACAGGTACAGCTTGCGCTTGTACATTGAGCATTTCTCTGCAAAGCACTTTGCTGTGATTGCCGCACACAGATGCACACGCACACGTATGAGTACACCGTCCTCCTGCCGAGAACTTGTCCAGGTACAAACGGGTATAGCATTGGGGCCTGGTTCCATGTTCTCTTGCACTTCTCGCGCTTGCAAGGGCCAAAGTGCAGGTGCTATGTAGACTAGAGGCTGCAGGTGCAGGTGCGGGTTCAGGTGCAGGCAGGTGCAGGGCCCGGGACAAGCAACCTCGACCGTGACGACAAATCCACCGCCCAGCACAGTACGGACAGCCCATTGGTGGACGGTGCCCAGCCTCTGGTCTGGCGTCTGGTGGGTGCATCTCATCTTGGAAGCCGCCGACTTAAGCTCCCGAAAACTTTTCGGCTAAGCACTACAAGTACTAGCACCGAGATAATGGCGCCATGTCTGGTAGATGAACTCTGGGCTACGGTTGATGGTGCCTAAGATGCTTTTTTCAGCTCTTTGCCATTGCCCATTCGGCGAAAATCATGGGAGGCGAATATCGTGAAACTCAAATCAACTGCTTGACGTTTGACTCTGTCCTTGCATGTGCTACCTAACCTTATGGTATGTACCGTCTCTGAGTACTGTCTGAGTGTTGCGTCTGTGTTTTGACTTGCTGTCTTGCTTGGTGGCCGTTGATAGTAGAAGACTATTGGCATAGCGCGGCCACTTGCCAGCTCCTTTTCGAAGAGTCTGGGCGCACAAAAACCTTGAGGACCATACAGTAGCCAACTGGTGAACAAGGAAATTCCGTTGCCCCGGCGCCGACTCTTCCCACGATGTGCTGGCACGACCACCGGCCAACCAAGCATCTGACGCTCGCCTGATGGCCTCCGAACCGCGCAGCTGTTTCACCCTGACTAGACAGACATGGGGCCTAAAGCTGTCGGGTGCGGTGCCATAGCCCAGGAGGCAAGGGTCTGGTAAGAAAAAGCGACGACGACGACGGGCAGCAGGCCCTCAGTTCCGGCTGCGAGTCGCTACTGGACTGGCACTGGCAGCAGAACTACTGCGGTAGCACTCGGTAGCCCGAGCTTGTCTGGTCTGGCTTGGTGCCGTCCCCCACACGCAAAAAGCACTTGACCCTTGTCGCAACCAAGCCGACGGCTCGCCCCAGTTGTTATTTTTACTTCCTTCTGGTGCGCGGGCATCGTGCCATGTGCGTCATGCCTCTTGGGAGCTGTGTGTCTGAGCAGCCAAGCCTCAGAGCCGTCACACCCCTAGCGCCGAGATGCTGAGCTATGCTCTGCTGGGCATCATCATCAATCATCCATCACCCGCCCCCCCCTCTCCACCAGCAGCGGTGCCTCTCTCTATGCGGTGCTGTGCTGTGCTGGTGCTGTGCCCAGCCCTCTCTGCCGCCCTCTGCCGCTCGTCTGCTGTCGTCTCGTTTGGTGTGGTTTGGTTTGGTCTCGTCATGGTTCCCTTTGGCATGTTGCCCGTTTGGCTTGGACGCACCGCTGGGCTCGGTCTGGTTTCGGCGCTTTGGTGTGTGTGGGCGAATTTTGCAAGAGGTCAAGGCGAAATTGTATGGATGGAAATATCATGGCGTAGCTGTATCAGGCATGGTGATGTTTTCTTTTGACGAGTGTAACCGGATGAGAGTAGACTGCAATGTTCTTTGATGGCATCAAATTTGTTTCTCTTCACCTCAATGAGATCAATTCAAGGTTATCAAGGTGTAGTAGCTTAGAGTAGGGCGTGAAGGTTCACATCAAGGTTGTGCCGCCAAAACTGACTGACACTTGCAAGACAACCGCAGCACAAACAGCGCCCCCACTGACACTGCTAACTGACCTGAGGGCCGAGTCGCACAGCGCGTGGCACCCCCTTGCACCCCCCAGTCGCGGGACATGGCCGCTGGAGGGGCCCTTTTGCAAAAGTAGCCCCAGGTAGCCGCAGTGGTACCTGCTCTCCTGTCGAGGCTAGGCCGGACCCCTAGCTGCCCCCCTCGGCGGACCAACAGGGCTCCGTTAGCACCCAGACCGGAAGGATCTAGCACCACAGGTTCGGCGAGGGTCAGGGTAAGACTACCTTGGGTGACCGGCAGGTACCTGGAGCGCTGTAAATGCATGGCTGGCTGTGTGGCTGTAGGGGCTTACAGTATGTTCCCTCCAGTCTGTTGGCAACAGCAGCCAGTATTTAAAAATCCCAGTCCCCCATCTGCCTCCCCTCTCCTTCTCCCCTGGTCCACACTCCAAATCATCTACACTCAACGTTCGCTCTCCCACATTCGCTCTCCCAAACAAATCTCCTTAGGAAGTCCTCGTTGACTCCTGTCATTCGCTTTACCGGTGCTCGTTTTCTTTTTGATCCTCCTTCAACCGCCACTCCGTCGCAACCTTCCATCCGCCGACTCCGCCAGAACTCTATTATCCCGAAGTCACAGATCCAACGACAACCACCTTTTGCACGGAACACATCGCCTTGCTATAGCTTTGCTAAGCAAATAACCAAGAGGCTTCGAATCGCGCAAAGGATTCGAAAGGACTAGCAGCTTCGCTACGGTTTCAAGTCTATCCAGGACCGAAATCCAAGTCGCCGTCAATGTCTATCTAAAAGAACATCATCTTCACACCACCACAATCGCTTTCCCACAATCGCTACCAACAAAGAAAATTTATAAAACCATATTACAAAAAAGAAAACGTTTTTTACGACCAAAACTACTTGCTATTTAATTCGAGGGTTAGGGAGAGGTAACTAATACGCCATATTCGATCGCTACGTTTTTTCAAGAGAAGAGGAATATATATATCCACGGGTATATATATCATCAAACCATTTTAGGAAAAAGAGAAACAGAACAAGAGGGACACAGCACAAACGTCTTGTGCATACCAGCTGCATTCGAGCCAACACTTGATTAAAGCATTCGCATTCATCGGGACATCCGTATTAGTCAATAAGCACGACACTCACTCGTCGTCCAAGCACAGCAATTTCCAGCTGTGTTTTGTTTTCATGTATGTGCCTTCATGACGTCTTCCAGTTGATCCATTTACTGACAGCTTCCAGCGGCTCGTCCGCAAATTTCCACGCTTTTTCAATCATCAACAATGGCTGGCCCTGGCGGTGGTCCTCCTCGTCGCAGGTTTGTCTCTCTTCCTCACCCAGCACTTACACACATTCACTCCTTTTCACTCAACAAAACTACACTCACACTCACTTCGTCACATCGAAGCACAAGCTAACTCTCTCATGATAGTCACACCAAGTCTCGCAAAGGCTGTGATACGTGGTACGTAGCAATATTCACGGTTTGCCGAATGGCGACCCTGATCTAGCTCGCAAGCACTGGTCTAACTATGATTCTAGCAAGCGTCGTCACATCCGCTGCGATGAGAGCTTCCCTCAATGGTAAGTTATTGGTGCCGTTTCCCGTTCGGAATTTCTCTTTTTGCTAATACTGGTGTCCTCAGCCGCAACTGCACCAAGCACAAGATCCGTTGTCCGTACAACGATGTGCAGGTTCCTGAGGCTGGTCGCTCAACCACTCCGGACAAGCCCGATCTCATGTGGACTCCCCAGATCGAGGCTGCTATTGCCGAGTGGCAGAGGACTGGCATGTTTCCCTTCCCAACGCTCCGCATCTTCCCAGCGCCCATGCCGCACATGTTCTCCCTTGAGGACCTCCGGTTGATCTACCACGTTGCATCCCTGTACTATCAGCTGGCGGCCTATGAAGCCAACAACTTCACCTTGTGGACCCGTCATATCCCGACGTAAGTTTCCAATGAGAGCGGCTATTCCATCCTTCTCCTTGGATACCACTGCTCTGGCGGCAAGCTTCCGCTGCGAGCGGTAGCACATTGTCCAACACAACGCTAACTTTGGTGTTTCCAGTCTGCTCAAGATCGGCGCGACTACTCCCTATGTGATGCATGCGGTGTTGGCATTCTCTGCCATGCACATCGCCTTTTTGACCGACTGCCCTCTGGTCGGTAGCATGGCGTTTGAGCATAGAGGCAAGGCCTTGAGCGGTTTGCACACCGCGATTGGTTCCTTCTCTCGCGCTACCTCCGACGCCATCCTGGCGGCATCCCTGGTGCTATCGTGGCAGGCCACCGATTGGTAAGCGCTCTTCCCTTGACATCTTTGCCCACCTCACAAGGACGCTCAATGGTTAACTGAATGTCCAAACAGGCGCAGCTGGACCCAGCTCATGCAGGGCACCTCGACGGTAAGTTAGTTGTTGGTTGGTGACGAAGAGCCAAGCATTTCATTGGCTTGCCTTGACTGTTCCCCTCCCTTCTCTTTGGCACGTTGACTGATTTTTTTCTCGGCAGGTGATTGATGCAATGGACGCATGGAAGCACGAGTCTGAGTTCACAGACTTCATCGCGGAGAGCAGCACGTTCCCCACGGCCCCGGCTTCTCCGGATCCTGAACGCCGGGTTCACCAACCCCAGAAGGACGACATTGAGGCCTACCAGCGAACCTTGGAGCAAGTCATCAAGGTTGAGGCTCATCTGAAGCACTACAAGGAAGACACCACTCAGATGCAGCACTTGATCGGCTTCCTCAAGGGCTCTCGCAAGATCAGCCCCACTCTGCCCATCGCCCAACAGTTTGAGCGCCTCCAGCCCCTGAGGACTTGGCTTTTCTGGGTCCCTGTCGGCTACATTCAGACCTACCAGTGCTCCCCCAACTCCCTGGTTGCCATTGCCCACTTGTACACGGCGGCCCTGCTGATGGAGCGGCTCTTCCCCGAGATTGGCGCGGCCTACTTTGGCAGCTTGTCCATGACCCCCATTGAGGAAATCGCCCGGCGGCTCATGTCCATCAATGTCGCGAGCACTGGTGTGAAGAACTCGTACCAGACGCCGCTGACGCTCATGGAGTTTCCCATTGACACCGTCAGTGAGTTCCGGTCCCGCATGGGCTGGATGAGCCCGCAGAGGACCCCTTCGTTCCCTACGTTCCATCCTCCCAATTTCCATATGCGCGAGGAGGTGCCAATGGTCCCTGCCACGGAGTCCTACATGCCATACGGGAACCCTGCCTTTAGCTATAGCGCTGAGAGCATGCCAATGCTCAACAGCCCTACAGCACCTGGTCCGCATGAGTCGCTCAGCCCGCTGGTCATCTCGTCTCCGTATCTGAGCCATCAGTACCTGAACGTGCCGTCTCCGTCCTTTGGGGTTGCCTACAGTCCGGCATCATCAACCTTTGAGGCGTCCCTTGCATACAGCGACTCGGAAGAGTACGGTGGGTATGAAATGCGAGGCTACCATCCCGGCCATTCGCCCACATTCGAGGATGCGCAATGCGCCGGCAGCAGCAGCTACCCCGTCGGGTTCGTTACTCCCCAGCAGTCCGTGTGGATCTAGTTTCCTCTAGATGGACTTCCCACACACTCGACTCTCCAACCCCGGCTCGAGGAAGCACAATCGGATTGACCGTTGCCACCCAGGAATTCCAGAACTCAATCAGCGTACCCGCCTCCGGATGGTTCATTGATGGCGCCACCCTTTCCGCCAGCTCCATCTCAACCTCAATCTCCGTACCACTACCAGGATACGCTCGGCATGCTTCCTCTTCCTGAGTCTCCGGTTCCGCTGTCTAGCACACCGCATCACCGACACCGTCAGACCGTTTCGGTCTCTTCTACGCCGCACCCTCCGTCTCCGCTGTCGCGCGTGCCTTTGACTCCAAGCTCTTCGGGGCTTGATGACAAGGGCAAGCAGCGGGCGACGTGATTGATGGGCGCTCTCTTCCTTCTCTCTCCTCCTCTCCGCGATACACCTCGGCAGCTGGGATCTGCTTTCCTCCTCTTCCTCTTCTCTTGATTTCAACGCAGACGCAAATGTACAACATTCCTTAACACGCTCGCTACTACCATGAACAACAACGATTTAATGGGCCTTGTTTTTGCACCTTCTTTTTTGCTCTTGTCAGCACACTGGCCTGACTGAGCCCAACGCCCGAACGACACTCCTTTAGACTTCTCGAGTTGATCTCGATTGAAACAATCCTTTACGACAACGAATAATTACCAACTAACTATTAATGTATTATCTAATACGCGACACTCCTTTCGAAATGATACCCTCCAGCTTAATCGACAATCCTTTAGACGAAGATACCCCCAAACTACGCACACTCCTTTTATGAAATTACGGTTATGACGAACATCTGGTCGACATAGAGTCACTCCTTTCTGGGTTATACAAAAAATGGTAACTGGGCGAATTGAATATCACACTGCATAGCGACTGTTTTTCTCCGTGCTGCAATAGGCACATTGTTGTGGATAGAAATATGGCGTTTTCCCGGCGTTCAAACGAACAAATAGTAGGGAAGTTTTGGATCTTGGTTATGTTTGAACACTTGGCTTTTGATTTATGTTTTGATTTATTTTTGGGAAAAGGCCGCTCGGTGTGAAGACGAAGGCATAAAGTGCCGACGAAGAAAATGGGGGGAGCGTGCCGGGACTTGTGTGTGTTAATAGCTGTTGTAAGCTGCATTGACAATGCTTCAGCGACGATGCTTGTGGATGATTCAAGCTCTGCCTTTAGCAGGCACCTTGAATTGGGTTTAATACTATTATGTTCGGTGTGCCCCATGAGTCTCAACTATTGGTTCCATCTTGTCCAAAGCATGACGTGCAGATGCGCATCCCTGAATGTGTATGGGTTTTATTTGGCTTGGCCGCTTACGCTGTGTGTCTGCGAAGGAGCCTTTGCTCCTCCCCTGGTTGGCGTTTCTTTTTTCTTTTTCTTTCTTTTTCTTCTTCTTTTTCTTTCTCTTTTCTCTTTCTTTACCTTGCAGGTTTACCACTTCGTTTCAGTCAGATCAAGGACACTCTCAAGTGCGTGGTGCCTTCGATCTCGATGTCAGCGAGGACCATGTGGTCCCAGATACACCCCAGTCTCGAGCGGTTTCACGCGGCCTCAAGCGGCCTCAAAGCGGTCCTAAGACGGTCCCAAGTGGGATTTTGGAACCGGAATCAAGAGTCCCGCAGCTGGGGGTGACTTTTCGGGCTATCTTGGGGCGGCAAAACAACTTCCTCCCCTTGACTCTGCATTATCTCTCTTTCTCTTCCTTTGTTTTTGCCCCGGCTGGTCCCCGTTGCCGCCCCCCATGCTACTTTTTTTTTTCTGTGTGCCCAGCTAACACGCAGGGTCCCCAACTATGACCTTTTGGCGTACATTAGGCGCCCTGGCTTGTGTCCGTTTTTGCGTCTCCTGCAGGTTGCTAGCAAATCGACTTGACACACCCCCTGCGGGAAACGAAACGGTGAGATGGGGGCTGGGCTCTGGGCTGGGCTCTGCTGGGCTGTGTGGTCCTGGGGAAACGGGCACGAGTCGGTTTTCTATTTTGGCTTACGGGAACGTCCGTCTCCTCCTCTGCAGAGACGGGATGAACTGGACTGGACTTGGGATGAGGGAGCCAATACCTGTCTGTATACGGGGATGCTGGAAATGGTTACTCGTACCACGAGGCAAAACGGGGGCCCTGAGAGAGAGAAAAAAGAGACGAGGACGACTGCTCTTTGGTGGCTATGAATTAGGCGATGGCGGATATCCGTCCCGTTCTAGGTCTAGCCCATGGGGTGGACGCTTGTGAATACGAGAAATGGGTGGCAGGGGGGCCAAGAAGAGGAGGGACCCAAACAGGTCTATTTATGTACGAATGTACAAAAGTATGCATGGGGTGGTTCATCTCTGATTGAGTTGTTTTTTTGTAGCATTTCTCTGTTTGGCTGGGGACGGGTGAATGGTCTTTGTCAGGTTGCCGAGTTAGGTAGCCTGCCCTCCCAATATTCGACGATGTTGTTTCTATGCGGCATGATATGAGTGGATGGGGGAAGAGACATAGAGAGACTATTGGAATAGAACGACCATTTTTCTCGTGTTTATAATTAGACTGTTTGGGGAAAGCGTGAAAGATGTGGTGATGGTAACGAGACTGGCGTCTATTTTTCTTTATTTTGGGAGCGTGAGAACACGAGATAGTGAGCCAAATACGAGGTTTTTGCGTGTTTTTTACTTGATCGGGATTTTTGGGCAGTCCTGAAATGAAATGAATGAAAAAGGGGATAGAAGACGCTCTTGTTTTGGTTTTATTTTTCCCTTTGTTTGTTTTGATGAGTTTGTGGCTTGAAGTTGTCGTGGAAGGGGGGTTAGAGAGAATCTTCGATTCTGACCTCTCCTGGTGAGTGAGTTTGTTTCCCTCTTTTCCCTTGTCCTTTTTACAGATGCTGTTTGAATGTACATTGGGCTAACTCTCTCAGACATAGGCCTGTATACGCTACCCTCAGAAAATCAAACCTCGAAAAATCCAAAGCCTGCGTCGGTCTTGTTCACCCTCATCCACGATTTACCCCCTTATATCGTCTTCAACATCGACACACCATCATCGATTGATACAAAAAACACACAGACTAATCTCCCCTTCCAGCTTCAGCTTCTGCACCCGTCGGAATCGCCTAGAGATATTCCCCTTCCGATCCAGCTAAACATGATCCTCGACAAAGTGCCCTCTCCCCTCAAGCCTTGCTCCTTTCGTCGTCGTTGAGGGACTTTGTCTCCCCTGATCTACATTCATAAGTCCGTCTAGACCCAATAGTCTGCATCGACCATTGAGAACAACAGACCATCTTCAGAATCTACGTGTCATTGTGCCCGGCCCTTTATCGTTCCACCAAACCAGCACGACAATGCCGTCTCCCCCAGCGAATATCGAACTCCGTCTCGGCCGAAAGAAAAACCTACAGCCTCAAAGTACCATCTAAACCAAACCCAAAGTCCCACTCCCCCTCCCCCCCGAATCTATACATACACCTTCTAGACTCCCATCCTGTTGCCAAGTTCTACATCTATCCCCGAGGCAATAGTCGCCACCAAGAAGGGGGGCTGATGGTCCATTAAAGGGGCCCAACCACTAAGCCACTCTGGCAAATTCGCCATCGAATATCCCAATTAGCAGATGAGGGATTATGTCCCGGCGCTTATAGATGTGCTTGCCACTGGGGTTTACATGAAACATCCGTCTGAGGACTTTCAAAGGGGGGTGGCTCACTCGTAGGTCGTAAGGGGACTTGGAAGTACATCAGAGTACTTCAGAGTACCTATACTCCGTACGAGAGAGACAACATCTCGTATGGGTCATGACAGTAAACGAATTCGAGTATCAAGCTTGATTGCTCCCTCCCATACAAGAATTTCCCAAACTTCACTGAATAGTATTGTGAGGTCACATAACCTCCTACACCTACCTACCTGCGTAGTAAAGTAAATTCCTCGTGCCTCGTACTAGATAGCTGCAACTCACATCATACATTATTCTTCCTTCCAACCCTTACGTGACCATAAATATAGTGACTACACCACGCCGGACATCTTACGTTGTGACTTGACAAGTATAAGGCACAGTTCAGACAAACATCCCATATTATAAACATCTTCTGTCTTGTAGCATAATTTTAACCTTATTTAAGCCAATCCCCCTTACGCTTAATGCGCTTCCTCGCTACCTATCAAACCAACTTGAGAGCATCTGAAAATAATAATAAAAAAAGAAGCTCCAATATATCTCCTCCATGATCCGCTATCCCGCTGCCCATGCTTTATACTTCCTCCCTTTCTCTAAATACAAAATGTTTTCTCACATGTACAGATATCAAACTCCTCGCTGCGTGGCGAAACAGGGGGGGGATATAATGTAGCCACGGGGTGATACAAATAACTAATACAAAGGCATGTGGTATGTATGTTTCTAACGATATAAATAATAAAGAAAAATGGGAGAAAAGCGAACGACCCGTAAAGATAAATCTGAGAGCGAAAGTTGACATCTCCAAGCTGAAATCTCCAAGCTGAAATCTCCAAGCCGAAATCTCCAAGCCGAAATCTCCAAGCCGAAATCTCCAAGCCGAAATCTCCAAGCTGAAATCTCCAAGCTGAAATCTCCAAGCCGAAATCTCCAAGCCGAAATCTCCAAGCTGAAACCTCTCTGCTTTTACCGCTCAAACATCCTCAAGTCGTTCAGTTGGTAACAACCTCTTGGTGCACCAGCCTCAGAACCCAGCCAGCTTCCGTAACGCTAGCGAACTGGAAGCACCACTTCTTGATGTTTCCTCCCGTGGCTCCGTTTGCCGGAACGCCGCCGACAATACCGTCGCCGTTCTTGACTTCTTCCCAGACACCACAGACGATACCTCTACTGCCCATGGGAGTGAAGCATCCACTTCCCAGAACAGCATCCAGTACAATGATTGGCTTCTCAGAACTCTTCTTGGGTATCGTCGTAACCGTGACGCGTTTCTCGAGGCCGTGATCCGCTCGAAGGGCCTGGCGCCAGCCCGGAGGAGGTCGACGAATTTGTAGACTGCAGTTACCGTAGTCTTCCCACTTGGCGGGCGAAACAAGGAGATGGAGCCGGATGCGAATATTCTCGGTGCCAAGATTTACAGGCGTCTCGCCGCCATTATCCACGCTAACAGAGGGCGATCGAGGTGAGCCATATCCTGACGAAGAGCCCGATGTATACAGGCTGTTGTGGCCGCTTCCACCTCGGCCGCCACGCTGCTTGTCAACAGATGATCGGGCCAGGTTGAAGGAGAGGTTTCCAACCAGAGTGAGCTTCTTAAGGAAACTGGAGGCAGACAGGTTCGACGAGGGTGTAGTGCTGGCGCCATCAAATTGTTGCGACTGCGGTGCCCTCACCGAGCTGCGGTAGCTGTTCTTTCTGCCAAACCAGCTGCGAGCTCGGCTGCTCTTGTCTCCATCATCAGCCGGGGCAGGTCGCTCACCAAAGCTCCTGAAACGGGCTTCATTCTCCAGCTGGATAAACTTCTGGTTGTTGAGGCGAGCGTGGTGGACAGCCGTGTAGAGAGTGTAGCAGTCAGGGCCGTTCAAGCATCTGAAGCGAAAGTTGCCGCCCTGGTAGACCGGCGCCAACTTGCTGTGAGGCTGCATTGATGATCTGATTTCGAGGTCGACCGCAGTGCTCTGTCGGATCAAGACCATCGGCGTAAGATCCAATGCGACAATGGGCTTATCGTCAAGCTGAGTGTAGTTGCTGTCTCTGAAAGCAAACGCCTCAATAAGACCATCTGAAACGACGATTGAAACGTGATCAGGGTGCACATCCTTCCACGCGCCCTTGTCAGACCACCTGGAGATGGTTGCGAGACATCGTCCTGATCTCGCAAGGCTGCCATCTTCCTCCGATGGCTTTCGTCCATGGAGACCGGCTTGGGAGGCAGAGTTGGACGGCGTCAAGCTGACTTCGGATGCGGGGGCATATGAGGGAGCATATGAAGGTGCATACGAGCCTCTTCTCTGGCCTTCGTCCCTGATGCTGTAGCCAAGCTCGGTCTGAGGGATGTCAATGCTCTCCATTTCCTCGTCTGATGACTCGGACTCGCTCTCAGTTCCAGACACATCTTCTCCCTCTGATCCCGATTCTGATGATTCTCCTTCTTCTATTATCGAAGACACTGCAGAAGAAGACAGGCCCGAGGCAGAGGAAACCTCAGAAGGCAGGTACTCGTGTTTGAGAGGAGAAGAGCCTCTTCGCCTTACGGCGTGCATATCAACCGGTGGTTGAAGCAGTGACTGAGACTTTGGTGACTGCTGAGGTGTGGGGCTAAGGGTTCTGTGAACGGGCGGTCGCGGCGGTGGCGTGTCATTGTGGTATATCGTAGGGATCTGCTTCGAAGACTGAGACTTGCTCTTTTCTCTGCCAGGGGGTCCAGGGGCAGCTCGTGTAGGAGTCGGTGGCGTTGAAAGACTGCTATCAGAGTCGTCGCCATCAGTGTTTCGAGACGCCGCGCTCACCATGCTCTGAACTCCCACGGGAACATCAGGTAATCTAGGAGAATCTGATCCCAGCTCAGACTCGTCAAGGACACTCGGTTCAGGCTCCCTGGGCGGTACAGGAGAAGACGGCAGGATATCGAGCCAGTCCAAGATCTGCTCTTCTTCATCGGCCCAGAGATTGAGCAGCTCATGCCATGGCTTCCCATTGTGATTGCCACGGACCATGACCACCATGTCCAACTTTCCATCTCCTGAACGGGCAGAGACGAGAGACATGGAGATGGGCGGAAAGAGGAGGTATGACCGTCGACCGTCTCCCACTTCCCGGATGAGAAGATCTCCTCTGTCTTCAGGGCGGCTTTGGTTGTCTCGGTAAACCAGCTCCACCTGACACTCCAGCCTCTGCCCGTTGGAGTGGGCAAGGTCAAGCGAGAAGATGTCCTTGGCACTAACTTGTCGAGTGAGACCAATATTGATGGACTTGGTTGGGCCGAGCGTTCTGAGGTCTCGCGCTCTAGTAGTATCCGTATTGGCGGCTTCTTCGTCAATAATCCTCGCAATTTCCTCTCTGTGGCGCTGGCGAGCCTTTTCCTGCAAGGCTTCGAAATCTTTGACCAGCTGGTTGGTATCAGGCGATGTAAACATTTGGTCAACACAGACAATCAAACGGGCCATCTGTTTGATGCGAAATAGTGGCCGCTTCAGGAGATAGGCGACGGCCACCCGCTCTCCCTGGGCGTTGATGAGATCGCCATTAGCATTCCTTGGCAACGAATCGAGGAGAGAGTCGTCTTCGTCAGGGGTACCACGTCGCGGTGCGAGGTTGACTATCAAGTCTTGAAAGCCTAGTCTCCAGACACTCAGGTAGTTGTTGTAAATTGGGACAACACCATGGGCCCAGTTGGCCATTCGGCGGATATCTGTCAAGGGAGCCTTGGCATGTGCGTTCTTGAGCTTCTCGAGGGCAACTCCCATGTTGACGACCGACTTGGAAGTAATATCGACCTTGATCTTTGGAGAAGCAGTCCCGACGAAGTCGGAAGAGACAGTAGGGTCGCTCACTACGTGAGAGAGAAGCACGGGTACCACGCCATCGACCAATGTTTTGAGCTCGCTTTGATACAAATGTTCGTCGTCCGCAAACTCTTTTAGCAACTCATCAGCAGTCACATTGGATCCGCCGCGTGCTTTCCGCAGACTCGGCCTCGACCTGCTATTCATCATTCCTTTGGGAACATTCGTGTCGTCCGGCAGCGAGAGGACGGAAACCAGGTCAGAGTGTTTTGTCAGCCTCCTTTTCAGCCCTGAACCCTGTCGTTGTGGGATTTTTGGGTCGCTCGATTTTGTTACCGTCGTTGAGCGAGTGAGAGTAGAGTGGCTCACATCCGACTCAGACTCCGAATGACTGATACTAGAGCCCTCGGAGAGAATTGTCGAAAGCTCATGGTGACCGTTTGTAGGAGGACGGAGACGTGGTCCGGCAATGTGTGGTGTCCCTCTCGACGAGCTGTGGACGGATGAGTCTCGATCAGTGCTTGAGCGAGTGTCTGTCGTGACCCAGCTGCTCAATTGACTGCTCAATTCAGAATTGGACTGCATGTACTGTGAATCGGCCTCACGCTCTGTTTCTGTTTCTGTTTCCGTCTCCGATCCCGTTTCACTGTCTGTTAGATCGTCATCATCTGATTCAAGTCGACGCTCTTCATGGCTCTGGTAGCTCTTTATGGGTTTTGTGAGCCCAGCAGACTCTCCTTGAAAGGCTTCTTTCAGGGCGCCGAAGAATGGTCGTCTTTTACTACCTGATTTGGAATGCAAAGAGTCTCTGGTTGCGCTTCTCCTCTTCAGACTTGAAGAGGATGACGTTTTCTTTCTGAGAGTTTCCTTGGACTTTGACTCTGTTTTTGGGGTTGAACCTGTGGCATCAGATGCGCTCTGAGCTGTCTCATCCGATCGCGTTGTGCTTGTCAGGTAAGACGTGACGTTGGAGGTGACATTGGAGACGACACGAGACTCAGAAACCATTGAGCTCTTTGTCTCTGCCGATGGCTTTCTTTTGTGCGTAGTCTCCTTGGTCATAGCTTCTCTGGGTGCAGTGTCTCTTTGTGCCGTCTCTTTTAATTTAGCCTCTTTTGGTGCAGTCCGTTTTGGCGTCGTCTCCTTTGGCGTTGTGGCCTTCGGTGTCGTTGCCTTTGGTGTCGCCGCCTTTGGTGTTGTCGCTTTTGGCGTCCTTTCTCTAGGCGCCGCCTCTCCAATGGTATCATCGTCATCTTCGCTATCGTCCTCATCAGATAGCGTGGACGTGGGTGAATGTGGCCTTTTATTCTTATCATAAGGCTCGACAGTGTTGTTGAGCCACTTCTCAATGCTGGGGGGGTTGTTGGGCACAGCATGCCTGGGAGCCTCGTTGAGATCATGTATAATCTTCTTACCCTCCTCCACCACCTTCTTTAGTACATTCGGCATGGCCTTGAGGCTCGTTGCCCGGTCAAGCTTGGTACGCTTCTGTTGTTGCTTCGGCTTACTCTTAGGAGGACCCCGCAGAGGCAAATCCAGCTCACTAAAGGCGGAGTGTCCAAACGGGATGTCTCCTGGGATGTCCGCCAGAGATTTGTTTGACAGTGAGGTGCCCAGATCCGAGTCTGGAATATGAGGATGGTGTTTGGCGCGGGAGCCGACGTCTGCCGACTTGGCTCTGGTGTTGGGACGCTTCGTTCCACTTCTTTTTACGCCCCCCGATCGAGGTTTCTGCCGTTGGTTATCGACATAGGAGCCTGCGTCGTCTGACATTGATAATTGAGTCGCCTCCTCAACGGCCTTGATCAAGTCTTGAATCGTGGGGTTTTTGTGGGCAGTACCAAGAGTTTTGCTCCGTTGTCGTGTCGGTCTTGGGGTTCCTGGTTCTGATCTGGAATCGGCCATTGGCTTCACTCTGATGCCATCGTCCTGAGCCGCAGCTGGTGAGGGTTTCATGGGCGTAACGCGGATACCATCGCCTTCGGGTTCCTTTTCCTTTTTAGCCGTAGCTGGTGAGGCCTTCATAGGTGCAACACGGATGCCATCGTCTTCGGGTTCCTTTTTAGCCGCAGCTGGGGCCTTCATAGGCGCAACTCGAATACCGTCATCTTCAGGCTCCTTTTTCCGTACCGGCCGAACACGTATACCATCATTATCGTCCGTGCTAGGTTTGAGAGGCTTTCTCGCAGTGACCTCGGTTGCCGTCTCCTCCTGGTCGCTAACATCCTCATACTCATCCTCAGAACCAGAAAGATCCGAGGACAAAGACCCTTTAAGGCTTTTCGGCGGCGGAGTCACGACCTTTTCAGCCCACGCCTTAACCTTGCTCTGAAAAGTCGGATTAGGTACCGATCGGAAGGCAAAGCCATTAGGAATGCGGGGGGCCGCCGGGGTGGGATTGCTCGCTTTTCTCGGGCGAGGCGAGACCTTTCGAACAGACGCCTTTCTGACTTTGGGCTTGACCCAATTATCGTCGCTCACGATCCTCTTCTTGGGCGGAGGCATAGGCTCCTTTTCCTCTTTCTCGGCCTCCGCATTGCTGTTGTGCACAATGGCCTTTTTGGGCGGTCTCCTCTTCTGCCTCATCTTGATGCGCACCCGGTCCTCCTCTGTCACGTCTTCCAACTCTTCTCCAGCAAAGGCAACATCAGTCGGCTCTGTGGCGGCATCATCCGGATCGGCATCCGCCATAGCAGCTGCATTGGCCTTTTGCCACTTATTCACCCTGTCCTTTACACCACTTGGCGGCTGCAATTTGCGCACCATGGTCTGTCTCATCTCATGGCGAAGCTCAGCCTTACTGGTATCCATGCTCTGCCGCCGCTTGCGCTCTGCCTCTAACCTCGCTGGGGAGGGCCGCCCTAGAAGAAAATCATGGAGGAGAGTAGGGGGCTCTGGCTTCTTGGTGGTGTTGGCCCGCGGGCGGTTTCCCGTCGCCGCAGGCTTGGGGGCCTCTCCGGGGGTGTTTTTGTCGTCCGCCGCGGCGTCATCTTTGGTGGTGTCGGGATTCTTGGTCGGAGTCGTGGGGTTGGCTGGCGCGGTGCTATCGCCGGAGGAACTTTTGGAACTTTTGGACGTGGTCATTGTCTTTTGAGCTGCTAAGCATCGCACTGTTAGCCCGAATGCCGCCACCGAAGCAAGGACAAAGAGACGTAGTACACGCTGCGAGAAAACAATTCACCACAATGCGTGGAGGCTATAGCGCGCGGAGGCAGAGCGGCCCAAGCTGCCCAAGATGCTCGAGCTTATTCGCAATTGCTCCCGTCCCAGGAAGCCGGTCGTGGAGACGAGGGGCAAGCCAGACAAAGCAGACGTGGACTTTCTATTGCGCTACTCACCTCATCTGAGCAGCATGCTGTTCGCATCGAGGATTCGAAGGTGTTTGCTCGCAGTGTCGCGTTGGCCGTTGCACATGACAGAGCTCGAAGCTCCCAGACCAGCCGCCTGGATCCTTGCTCGCTACCAACAACAAAGACGGCCGCCGCAAACGGCTGCAGACGCTGTCGTGTTTATAAAGGTCTCCAGAAGAAGAAAAAAGAGTGAAATGAGCGCGAGCTGGTGGCCAAACGGGGTTGGTAGTTCTGAGTCGAGCTGGAGGATCTTGAGCTGGCAGATTAAGGAGAGTAGGTACTGTAAGATGCAGAGCAAAACGAGCGACAGCGGACGAAACTGGTGACGTCTTTGTAGGTGGTATCGGTAGTGTATGATGACGGGAACGATGCGTGTACAGTACAGTGCAAAACGTCGAGGGTTTCGATTGACTGATTGACTGCCCGCCGCGATTTGATTACAGGCTCCGGATCCCGCTTATGCTTGTGGCGCTGCAGCATGGATGGTCATGGATCAAAGCTTTGAAGCTGCTGTGCTTGTGCTGTGCTGGGTGCCGCAGTAACCAGCGGGGTCGCCTCCAAACCGCTGTAAACGTAAACAATGCAGTGCAATTTGGCACAGCTCGAGCGTCACTGAAAAGCCACTCAAGGCCCGGGCCGCGGCCAATCAGAGACGGACCTTATTATCGTTCTAGTCAGGTTAGTATCACCATGAAGAAAACTTGCTTCATCAATCTTACTTGGTTGTGCTAGTTCCACGGTATCGTGTTGCGGCTAGCCCCAGACGGGCTGGTGGCTGGCTCTTCTACCTTGCTGTGGCTGATGATGGATCCATGGGCCGGATCTCTGCCTTGATTTGTTGTTGTTTTCTTCCTCTGCGCTTGAGTGAAGATGAAATTGTCCTAGCAGGGGCGATCACTAGGATCGTGACACCGCATCGGGCTCATCGATTTTCGCATCCAGATCTAAAGATTATCGATTATCGTCTTGTTTGTTGTTGTTGATCGCTGGCCCTTGCATTGGCTGCATCTGCATGATATCTACACCTATTCGACCTACCCTGCAATAAAATGATTCGATATCTTCAAATGTTTTCCTGCCTTTTGCTTGAACGAGTAATCATGAGCCCTGCCGGTTCTATTATTGTATGCTTACATGTACTTTGCGGGCTGCAACACCTGTTGACCGGATCGATATCGTACGTAACTCATCGCCGATGGATTTCACTTACACACCATCTCACCTACACCAGGCCGTCAACTGACAAAACAACGACATGCATGCTCTCCACCGTCATCAACGGCAAAAACAATTCCTTCTACTATTTGCTAATATAGCTCGCTCATATCTCAGAAATCACGCCCACGTTCTTCTAACCTACTGTCCCAAAGAGACTCGGCCCTCGTTTTGACAGATTGGAGCACCCCATTTATCATGCCGTCATTTTCCCACTTACACACGATGGCCATTATCTCGAGCGAGTCACAAGGTGGCATCGGACTCTCCACCAACTCCGGATGCACTCTTTGTTTCCCCACTCATTGTCTCAACATGCTTTAACATCTCCGTCGTATCCTGCACTCTTATTCACTCCATACTTGTTCAACAAAGAACTTACACACAACATCTTCAGCTTTCTCTCAGCCCCCCCTCCTCAAACAAATAAACACATCTCCCCATCACTTCTCACCGGAACCCCCGAATCCTCTCTCTCTCTCTCTCACCATCATTACCGCCCTCACAGCCTCCTCTTTAGCCCATACACGCGTCTCACCCGCTCAGCTCGCCATGGCCATTGCCTCCATTCTTGTCCCGGTCCAGCTGATCAACCTCACCCACTAGCTCCACAACCAGCACCACCCGCAACCAATAATGGCGCAAAGTGTGCGATCAATTCCCGAATGACAGGTCACGCCAAGGAATGCGATTTCTGGGCAATCTTATGCCCTGCAAGTCATGTCCCAATATGCAAGTCGTCTTGCTAGCTAGGCGCTTATCGGCTGCCCTACGGATGGAGATCAGCGCTTTCGAAAGTTGTGTTTCCATTGTGGCGATAAGGTTTGCGGTGAGGGAGATTGATGGATGGAATTGTCTGCTAACAATAGCATCAAGCATCCGTATCCGATATGGTGTAGTGGCTAACATCGCTCGCTCTCAACTTCTGGTTGAAGCACCGAGCAGCCCTGGGTTCGATTCCCAGTATCGGAGATTTGTTTTTTTGCCCTTTCACTGTTCTGCCATCTACCTACCTGTGTAAACCTCTGAGAGCTTCTTTTTGTTTTCACTGTATTTGATTCAAAAGTAGATGAAAGTGAAGAGTCAATTCAATGATAAATAGTAAGGATATGTAGTAGTACCAAACAGTACTGTTGTCAATCAAAAGTTGCCTCCAACTCCAACAGATGCCCTCCCCGGTTGGTATAATTGCAATAAGCAAAGAACAAACAAATGCACACCGTCCGGTCCTTTATTATGCCTCCTCCCCACCGAAACACCGAAAGTCCCAGCTTGCGATGGCCCAGAAACAAAAACAAAAACTGCAGACGTAGAAGCTGCTACGTATTATAAATGCGTGAAACCACTCCAGCCGCCCCAAACGCCTTGAAATGCTATACCAGATAACACACCACACCAGACCAAAATGATGAAACCAAAAACCCTCCACCACCCCCCAGAAATGAATAGATCCGCCCTTTAACGCCGCCCAATGCAAAAAAATGGTTGATTAAAGATATGCACGACGCTCGTGTTATTACTCCTTATCTGGGAGCACGAAGCGTACCTTCTTCTTCGGCTTTGCAGCCTTGGTGTCTACACCCGCATCGCTCATCAACTCCTCTTCAGTCTCTTCTTCGATGGACCACACGTCGGGACTGGGTTCCCTCCACAGGTGGTCATCTCTCGCGCGGACAGACAGGCTCCGAGTCTGCTGGCGAGTCGACCCGCGGCTGTTTGTGCGGCCTCTGCCCCTGCGGCCCGGAGCCGGCACGGAGTTGGGCGAGAGCAGGGCGTTGGCAGTGAGGCCGAAGACGGGGCTCTTGGCTCGGAAGCGAAGGCCCTCGACGGCGAGGTCTCGCAAGGGTGTGAGCGAGAAGGACGACGACGTGGGGGAGAAGCGAATGTATTCCTCATCGTCGTCGTCGTCGGTGGTGAGAGCGTCCGAGTCAAAGTCTGGCGAGGCCGGGCGAGCGCTGTCGGGCTTGCGGAGACCCTCGAGAGAGGAGGGACTGACGCTGCGGACGGCCTCGCGGGGCTGGCTGGCGTCCTCGATGCCGGCGTCGAAATCCATCATGTCGACGTCCAGGTCCATCTCGTCATCCTCATCCTCTGCTGGGATGGGAGTGAGGAAGTAGGTGAGCGGGTTGTCATCAATATCCTCGAGAAGCGGCCGAGGCTCAAAGCTCTCGATAACGGACCTCTTCTTGAGAGACATGGTGGGAGTCAAGCGGAGCTGGGTAGGTGGCCAGGATTCTCGGCGAGAGGAGAAGACGGATTCCATGGGCATTGTTGGCTCGAGTTGCTTTTCTGTCTGGGGAAGACAGAAAGAGGTGGATGGCAGGGGTTTAAGTAGGATGCAAGGCAAGGCAAGGCAAGGCAGGCAGATTAGCACTAAGTCTAGGTAGATAGGACTCTTTCTGCTGATGCCTTCAAAACGCCACCTTATTGGATGACTCAGACGGGGGAGGGAAATTATGACAGGTCCAATCTCTGAGCGTAAACGAATAGTTCCCTTTGCTGAAGGTTCACGAGTAAGGAGAAAGAGTGAAGAGAGGGAACAAAGAGGCCTGTGGGTTGGCGGCACCTCCGACGGTAAAGGCTGAACAGCCGCTGAGAAAAAAGGGATTCCTGCACGGAGGACCAGAGAAGCTGGTCCAGAATATCAAAAGAAGCCCAAGGGTATGTAGGTAAATGTGGCCAGTCAAGTGAGCCTGGCGAGGCAGCGAGATAAGCCGCAGATATATATGCAGGCAGCGGATATGCCGACTGGACAAGGACAAGACAGAAATTCAATGCAACGCCCCTACCACCCCCCCCTCTTTCTCTGCCGCAAGAGACAATAAACGGGCTCGATAGCCAAGTGCTGGTGCGGTTCTAAAACGTCACCAATGCAGCCCGTGATGGGCAGAGACAAGGGGGGGCGCACGGCTCCGGCTTGGCCTTGTGAGGTGTTTTGATGGTCATCAGCAAGCGGTAGATGAGAGAGCTGCGCCCACGTGAAGGAGGCCTATGGGAGAGGCGTCTGGGGCTGGGTCCACCGAAGTGTGACAGCCGAGAGCCGTTGTGTATCATTTCTCACAAAAGCCGTTTATTGTAGAGGCTCTTGCTCTTCGCCCGGGCCAAGTCATGAGAAGACAATATATTGAGAGAGGGCTGAGATGGGCGTGCAGTAGGCTCGCCTTGTGGTGTGAGCGCGAGATAGAGAGAGAGCCAATATCTGCCGCATCAGGCATTTCCCGCCATGGGCAAATAGTCGCAAGCCATGGTGTGTCCATGAGCATTCCAGGATGGTGGTTAGAAGGCGGCGAATGAGCGGCCCGTGTTCAGAGCCCACACCCGAATGACTGAGAAACAAAGACGCGGGGAGAGAGACTAACGAAAAGCTGCAAGGGTTCGATTCTCGGAGCCTCTTTGGAGCTTTTCTCTGCAGTCTCGTAAGCTGAGACTAGGGCACACCATCTCGAACCAGAAAGATACCAGATGACTCGTCTGCTGGGGCGAGTAAGGTGAATAGGATGAGGATGATGCTATCTCGTCTTGCTCCGTCCCCGCCATCTGGTGGGTTTGGAACCCAGGTCACGCCCACCCCAAGCAGCGTGGAATTCCCATCTGCATGATTTGCATCGATCGAGTTCCTTGTTCCTTGGACGATGCATGCTGGAATGCAAACGATCACTGCATGGTTCCTTGCATGATGGATGCTTGCCCGCGCGTGGCGCCTAAAAAAGGACAGGACGGGCAAGCGTTTGCAGTTTGGCCTCGTCGATCAAGGGCTCTCCATTTTTGGATAGCAGTTTACAGTAGCACCAGCAAAAAAAAAAAAAAACCCCGACCGGGCAAAGGATAAAAATGGAACGCCGCAAAAGCTAGGCTACGGCGCGGCGCGGGAGCTTCGGCTGGGCTCGTCATCGTCGTCATACTGGATATGAAGTTACTGTATCTGTCAGGATACCCTATCCAGCAACTGTACGAGTACGTGTATACGAAGAGGGCACATGTAATTCAAAGATGCCGTCCCGTTAGCACAGACTTGCCATTTCCGGACACATGGATTGACTCTAACAAGACTCTAGGATTCTGAGACACCGCCAGTGCCAAACTATGCTCTCCTTAGCTATGGTGGGCTGGATCGTCTGCGTCTGCTGATTTGCTCCAAGCCTCCCCAGGGCGACGAATGCGGCCGTCGAGCTGAGCACGATGGCGCTCGATGGACTTGCTTCGTTTCCATTATTGGCGCCCCGGCCAGGTCAGCTCAGCTTTCACGAGCAAGTTAGTTAGTGCGGGCAACGGAGAGGCGTAAAAAGCCAGTTTCCCGTGCTGGAGCTATGGGGAAAATGGAATGTTGATTCGAGAAGATTGGCAAAAAAGATGTGCCACATCCCAATATAGAACGGTTGCCCAGCTTCTTTGCGTCTTTGTCAGTGTTTCCGTCTAGATAATGGCTGCGAACCCCCTCCGAGAGGATTGAAGAATTTGATTCTCATGAGACCCTCTGTTCCTGATACGTGATTCCAGGCCGTGCTCGCAGCAGCAAAGCGTGACAGGGACCAGCATGAGAAATTCACTCAAAAAAAGGTCCTCTACGCGTCATAGAAACAGGGCGACAAAGACCACACTTCTTCTGCTTGAGCGGTTTCTGGCATCCTGGCGAACGCACAACATGGGGAAGCATGACCAGAAAAAAAAAATACACCAGTCGAGCCATGAGTCGTCGTGATCAGACTACTAGTACAGTAGACATCTCATATATTCACAAAACTTGGCAGCTCTCGGGCGGCCAGAATTAATATATCGAGCAGGAAACATGCAACCTCCAGGTCCCTTGCTGCATTTCTCCTCTTATTGTATCGAGACTAAATCCCAAGCCGTGACCCAAGCACCTGATGCCCTCGTTTGATTCCCTCATGGGCTCTTATTCATCTTTTCCCCTCTCTCTTTTCTCCATGGAGCTCAAACCCCTGCTCGATTTCCCGCGCTTGCTGCGGTGCTCCCAATTCCGAACTTGCTCCAGCTTTTTCCTGGACCAATGACGCCATGTCGGCCTTTTCAGCTGCCGCTGAGTCGCAGTTGAGCTTGAAAATCTCCGTGGCCCGACGTTTTTTTCTTGCCTTGTATCGCATTGCTCTGATAGCTGTGCAGGATATATACTGGGACGGAATCCCGTCCGATGCACTAGATTGCATGCGGCAAGCAGCTGTCAATGTTTTTTTTCTCATCTCTTTTTGCTTGGGGTCTCGTGGAATTTTCCTGTCTGAGCAGTGAATACGAGTACGTTGCTGCTTTTTCAGTAAATTGGGGCTTGCGCGGCAATTGCGTGTCTACGATGTCGCTTTGTCCATCATCCAGACCGAGCGTCACTTGTCGCATCACTCGCTGTATTACTGTACCGAACATACTAAGTAATACTTCCATTCACATTTTACATCTGCATACCATCACCGTTTGTACAACCACCACAGCCCATGGATTCCTGCTGGCTTACATCATTCATCCTCTCCCTGTGTGTCTCGGCTTGAGGCGTGCCGGACTGAGGAGAATCGCAGCCTATTAGCATCTTGGCCCGCGCAAACGAGAACGATGTGGCCCTGTAAGAATCGACATAGGCATCGCTAGCTGGTCGGTCGTATCGTACATACGCCATACGCGTACCCACGCTTCCTTACCCCAGCTTGCCCAGGTAGCCTATCGGGTGTTCGCTGTCTTAAGCTCCGATAAGGGCATCTCCAGTCTGGCTGGAATCAAGGGCTTAGCATATCATCCTTGCGTCCTACGTAGTCGCTGTCGCAGTCCTAGTCGCCAAACCTGCAAGGCTTTCGGCGCCAAGAGAGACGGCCTTGTGGCCTGTTTTTACTTCGGCCCGCACGGGATTGTGCTATCGTGCATGTCTGCAGCATCAAGTCAGCGGCGGTCCATTACATAAAGCCAAAACAACCCTCCGGATCTCCGGATTATAAACCCAACCGGCTTCCACCTTAAGTAACCAGCCCGCATTTGACCGTCATTTCTATCTCTCTCTCTCTCTCTTTCCTGCTCATCGATATATCCTCAAAGTGCATCGTAGCGCTCAGGTCCTCTCAGCTTCATTCCTCGTCATTGACTCAATTGCGGAGGTTCTCCTCACTTAATTCCGGTGACTCGCCCGCTCGCTTCATCGACTGCCCTTTTCGGCCTTTGTTGCTCCGCGTATTCCGCACATTCAAAGAGCTCGCCCCACGTGACAAACAAGTCAATTCCGATTGATCGCCTCCAACTTCCGGATCCGTTGAGGGCGACGACAATAGTGAAATCCGGACAAGAGCTTTAAAAAGAGGCTCGCCCCGGGCGGTGCAAAATTTCTTTGCCTGCCTCAAGGTTTATGGTGACCTCGAGATTGAAATTCTGCCCTCGAGCAGTGCTGTCATCCAAGATGCTTCGCTCTGCCCTCGTTGGCTTCGTACTGCTTTGCGCTCTCGTCACTTGGAGCACCACGCTCTTCTTCTTGCAGGGCGATTCTTTCGAGGCTTGGTTTGACGCAGCTGCTCGCCGGGACAGCGGCCTCGAGTTCAGCAACAAGGCGCAGGATCTGGATTACGAGCCTACCAGGATGGATGTGACTAACCTAAGCCCTACTATTCCGCTGAGGATGGTGACGTTTAACATCCGATACGCCACTTCAAGTCCGGTCAAGGGCGAGAAGCTGTGGGACGAGCGAGGACCCAGGCTCGTCAACGAAATCAACTTCATCACCGCCGGCCAAGAAAACGCATTTCTCTGTCTCCAGGAGGCCCTCTACAACCAGCTCGAGGACATCCAGGCCGGCCTGGGCCCCCGATGGGCGTACATTGGCCGGGGCCGCGAGGACGGCAAGAAAAAGGGCGAGTTCTCCCCCGTCTTCTACCGGTCCGACGTCTGGTTCCTCGAGCGCTCGCAGACGCGGTGGCTGAGCACGACGCCCGAGAAGCCGTCGTTTGGCTGGGGCGCCCCTCACAAGCGCGTCGTCACCATGGGCGAGTTCTCGCACAAGGTCACCGGCACCCGGGTCGTCGTCATGAGCACGCACTTTGACTACAAGTACGCAAAGGCGCGCAAGCACAGCGCCGAGCAGCTGATGCAGTACGCCCGCGACTGGAGCCAGGGTAACAACAACGCGGCGGTGCTCATCGGCGGCGACTTCAACAGCACGCCCGATGACGTGGCCTACCGCCTCATGACGGCGCCGGGGTCTGGCATGTCCGACCTATCGGATCTGCTGCCTGCGGACAAGCACCACGGCAACAGCCTGACTTACACCAGCTTTGGCGAGCCCAACGAGTGGCCGCAGCGCATCGACTTTTTGTTTATTCAGGAGCCTCGCACCGCAGTCGTCAAGACGTTTAGCGTGCTGGAGAATGCCTATGACGACCAGATCCGCGTGTCGGACCACAGGCCGGTCGTGTCGGACCTTGAGATTGCCGTGGACCCCTCATCATGAGAATTGACGAAACTGGTCCAACTTGGCTAAGGGGAAAAAAAGGGAAAAAAGAAAAAAAATTAGCCGTATTGATATTTTATGATCAACGTCTCTTTCAACACTGGATAAAACCTCGGAGGATAATGATACCCGGAGCGTGCTTCCCGAGTAGCACCGTCTCCAAGCAACTCGTTATGAACAGGGAGTTTCGGATTTGACATTTATCGCTAGCATATCACAAATAAATTAAATAAAAAAAATCAAATCAAAAAACCTATCCTGTTTACTGAAGATTCTACTCAACGAAAAGGCGGAGAGAAATGGGCGCCATGTAGATGCATCCTATCACGGCCACGGGCGCTTGTCTGCATATGAGCACTTGAACGCTCTGCACCTTTGTATCCATCCGATTCCATCGCCATGTTGACGTCCAACTTGAATGTCTCCAGACGGACAGAATAACCATCAGCGATGCAGTTTGCTCATGCCGGTGATAAGCAGCCCGCCTCTCCCACTCGCATCATACCTAGCCAAGGATCCAACCGCGTCTCGTCCCCAACGCATCAAATTTCTCAAGGGAGAGAGGCTCTATGGACCTGCAGCGCATCGACGAACATGACAATTGCAGGATTTATATAATTATTATGGAACGGGACGCGCACAAAAAGGCGGTCAAGAGCTGTCCTGGTTGGCTAGGAGCTGGACTGAACTATGTAATTTATGTATCAACTGCATCTCTTACAGCATCTGGAAGCTTTGCCATCAATCAGCTTTTTGGTTTGTATCGCTCTAGTAGATAGATCGTAAATAGGATACGACCAATATGCATTAACAAGGGTTTTATATCCTACATATACTCGTATTTAATTTTGTACGGCATTGAAACGCTTCGTTTCCTCTCACCTGCATGTGATCATCATCCTTCGCACTCGCGTCGGTGATTGGACTCAATATGTCTCTAGAATGTGATGCTTTTGATAACAACAAAAATACGAATGTGTTTCACTGCCTCCGTTTTGACGGACCAATGAGATGATGCTTGATATGCCTGAGCCAATACGCTTGAGTCTCTGAGATGGAAGTAATGCGGATCAAATGTACTCCGTAATCCATCGTACTCTGACGTTCTTTCGGTAATGAATGGGCTACTCAGATTAGATTCGTCGACATACACCGACTTGCTGCTGTCTTTGGAATAAATTGACGGCATGAGATAAGAGTGACTGCATGCAGATATGCCCCATAGCATCATCACTTTTCCACCTTGTACGCATGTCCGACTGGCTACATGTACGTCTGACAAGAAGCAAGCAGCAGCTTACCTGCTTTAAACATGCGTATATAAGCTCAAATGTGTATTCTTGGATGCACGACCGAACATCAAGACGGCCGCTTATTGAGCTTCTTTCGGCCCCCGACATGTCTGGTGGTGGATATGCGCAAATGGCGGCATACACATACGCCTTTATCAAATTATATGTCATCTGAAACAGCCAAGTTTCCAAACACACTCACCATCCTACCGCTGATAACGTTGAAGAAGGAGAAGAACAAGAAGAAGTTGAGGGGGGGTGTCTAATCTGGTTAGTGGTTGCAACAAGGCCGGCATTCCTTTAACACTGCATCTATACCATTTCAACCACTCACAACCGCTTACTGTGAGACAAGAAAAACAAAAATTCAAGACAAAGCAGGTAGGTAAAGTTGTGCCCAGTCAAACAAGTCATTGCCACTCCCGGCCACGTCGTCGAAGAAAGTCTTGGAATTCGCCTCGCTGTGTAACACCACACACCGAACAAGTGAGAAAAAAAAAAAGAGAAATGTAAAAACTGGAAATCTTGATTGAAGCTACACCACGCCCCAACAATGGAAAAAGAGGCTGTGTGCTGGGGGAAGGGTCCTCCCACCAATCAAGATGACGAGGCCTACCGATTTTGACACGGATTTGATGTTTTTTGATCACGAGATTTTGGGATGTGTGTCACGGGTGGCGCGGTATTATATCTCACGCTACATCGTGGGAAACCTGGCGAGACAGCCGCGGTGGGACGGTGCGATGGTTGTGGGTTTGGTATCCTGGCTTGTGGAGGTGGTGGCCGATATGTAATCTGGCGGAGAAGGGTCGTCCGTGTGTAAATTGTTCGCAACGCCGGTGTTTTCTTTTTAAGAAATGCCATTACTTCTTTTGCTGTATGAGCGGTTTGATGTTCGGTGTTGACTACTGTATCAAGCATCTACAAGTCTACATAGCTACATGTATTACGGATATGAATACGAGCTGAACGAAACAGTACTTCTCTAGAGCAAGATAAACGAGCCGTAAAAGCTAGAGATGCTGTCAATATCCAAAGCATCAAGCACACCAAGCAGACGGTCGGGGTTGGTGTGGAGGTCAAGTAATACGGGAGAGGCCGGGAGCCGAGACAGGCAAAAGACGGGGGCCCGGGGGTGGGGCCGGACCATTAGATACGAGTACGGAGGATGCAAGCAGAGGAACAAGCTCGAGGATGAAGATGAGCACCGCAGGCTGTGCTGACCAGCAGAAGGAGGATCCCGTAGCATTCGGCCGCGGCTGTGAGCTGCGGGACGAGCAGAAAGAACAAGGACAAGGGGAAGGGTCTGCCGGCAGCAGCAGCAGAGTGTGGACTCGGAAGCCTCACAAACTGTGGACGAAGGGGGGGCGTGCACCAGCCGGTCGATCATGCATGAGCTTTTGCAAGCGATGGAGGCATTTCGAGTCATCGGCTGAGCAGGCAGGCAGAGAGGCTGGGACGAGAAGACGCGAAGACTTTGACCCGAGATATTTCTTGAGGCATGACTCGGAGGAGCAGAAGCACGAGAGGAGGGGGAGCTAAGGCATCAGCCTGTCCTATCAACAGCCGATGGCACGTCCAGCCTGCATGACGGCAAACGGCGACGATTGGGCCTCAATGCCAAAACTGGGGCCGGTGTGAGCTGGCAGTTCGAACGGAGCATCCGCATACGCCCCCCGGACGCCTTTTTTGCCTCCCCCATGTTGCTGTTCTTGTCTCTTCTTATCCATATTTTACCGCGCACCAATAGTCCGGGGCCACCAACCTTGGCCTTGAAGAGAAGGAAGTTCACAACCATATACGGTTTTGTTAAGAACTGTCGCTGGATTTTTGCAGATCATCTTGTCTGACTGACGAGGATTTTTTTTTTCGTCTTGCTTTTTTGCCTCAACGGGCGTCGGGAGGCGAAGACGGGAAATTATCGTCAGGTCCTTTGCGGTTGATACCCAATGAAGGCCCTAAGAGGAATTTGTTGGGCAGAAAGACTGACCAAAAAGCAAGAGAAAAAAAAAATGTGGTAGGCAAATGGTAGCAGTTTATGGTGGTGGTAGCAGTCGTAATCAAGCAAATTTCGCAAGAAGTTGGGAGAGGCGTATGTGTATATGGCTCTGCGCACTTTGTACCCCCTGCTCAGGCTCTTATAAGCCCCCAAACATTTTTTTTTCGCTTTCGCTCATTGCCATTGCGACCGTGGTGTGTCATTAGTTTATTCGAGGTTGTCACCAGTTTCGTTGGACTGGGCGAGGCTGGAGAATGTTGAAAATTTTCATCGTTCGCTGGCAAGTTTTTAGACCAGGTTCTGCTGTCCAACGGTGAATGTTGAGCTGTCAAGTCCCCCCACGGTGGCGAGATCCAGGATAAAATGTAAAAAGGTTTGTTGTTGTACACCGAAGAGAAGAAAAAAACAACGCTGGTTGTGCTGTAGAGTTTCAGCGCGTGTTTCACAATCCCGTTGAGAGGCTGACCCGACTCCCAAAAGGTGGCGGGGCGCCAACGACGGGCAGAGACGAGCCGCCAATCTCCACAGTTGGGCGTGAGTGCTTTTCCTGCTAATTTGGATCAATGTTTTTTTTCTGCGATTCTTTGGCTCTCAGCCATTCGCCGCGGCTCTACCCGGCGCGCACTTTGGCACTAGGATTTGCTTGTGTTTCCACACGGGTGGGAAGGGAATTTGGAAATGGAAAATTGGAAGCCCGTGGCCCAGTCTCCCGCGACCCTGGTCCGAACAGGCGGGAATGGTGACGTCGTTGCTTGAACTTGAGCTTGACAACTTTGAACTGTTGGGCTTGGGCTGATTCCCGACAAGGACGGGAGTCTGACAGACGGAACTGACTGACGACGACGAAAAAATGCCAGAGCCAAGGCGGATGGATGAGACGAGCAACGGCGGCGATTCGTCATTGGGAATGCAAGTTTTTATTTTTATCCGTCGAGAATGCGAGGCCCGGCTGTTGTCTTGAAGACGGCTAACGCAGCAGCAGCAGCGCCTAGGATCCCTGCTCGAACGTCTTTGTTTCTATTTTGCATGGATTGCATAAGACACGGAGCCTACAGGTAGGTATGGAGGCTATTACTATTGTTGTCAATGTTGTTGTTGTCGCTGCTGCTGCAGCCTTTGGCGAGCGCTTGTTGTAACACCAGCCCCGGCGCTCTGGCATCACGCATCACCCTACGACATCAACGCAACATCAAATGCAACATACGACATCAACTGTTCGCTTGTTCTTTGTGCTTCGCGCAGATTCCTTTCCTTCCTTCGACTCTCTCTCTCGCAACTCTTCCCCCCTCCTCGAAGCTGCTCACAAGCTCCGTCTCAAACCCAAAATACCCTTGCAAGCTCGTCTTTCCCTCGTCTCGCGGCCCCCATTCGCTGGTTCGCTATCGCAGTCCTTCTCGACGGTGGTGCGGCACCTCCGCCCTCGGCCTGTCGTTGAGACGACCCAAGGAGCAACTAGAGGGTCAGGCGGTCGTTAGCTGCCGATGCACTGTGCAGCTTCGCGGGACTGGGACTGGCTCAATGGGCTGCGAGTGCGAGTGTGTCTGGAGCTTACAGTATTTGATCCACCATGTGGGGGAGAGGGATATCCCGCCGTCTAGACCATTCGGGAGACATCCAGGCCATGTACGGACGGGTATAGCACCAAAGCCAAATAGATGAAGGGACGACGGCTGTCAAGAATGACAAAGGACGGGAGCATCAAGTCAATCTGCTCCATACTCAACTGTGCATGCGGACGGATATCCAGTGATGCCGTCAAATGTCGCGCGATATTGTGTCCCGGTTGTGCTACTCCAAGGCGCCAGAAAACCACACCACCATCTGCCCAGTGCTCATGAACAGCAACTTACGGACATCCATCAAATCTCCTTTCGTCTATCGAGTCCAGCTCTCCCTTGCATCGCGTCGCGTACTTTCGCCTCGCACAGACGCTCGCTGCCCAAAAGCCAAGTGTCTTTTTTTCTCTCTTGGCCTCTTTCCTCCCCCTTTACGGAGTCCGTACATAGTACTCGTAAATTATTGATCTTCCATTCGCATCAATCAATATTGATTCAACGCATCACCAACCCACTTCTTCCACAGTGCTTCGCACACTGACACACAGCGCCAGATCCATTGCAGCGACAGCGCATTAGCCCCTACAGCACCCCCCCTGCTACCCTGCTACCCCTCCCTAGGCCACCCCCCTCTGCCCACCCCCATGCCCACCTCACACAAACCCGAACCTTCGCACCCCTCATTCCCGCCCTTGTACAGTCCTCGTAGCGCTCTGCCTGCCCTCTGCACACACTTTGCGGCCATTGGATCAGCGACGACGGGCGATTAAAACCTCGACGCAGCCGCTACTGCGCTGTCCGTTGGTCTTGCAGTTGACAAAGCTCGTTTTTTTGCGAAGAAGACGAAAAATTTCTGTTGCCGGGTTTCGTTGATCCTTTATTATCCTGGCCCATCGCTGTGAATGAGGGGTTGCGTCTCATCTCATCTCGTCTCATTCACACTCACTGCTCTTCTCACGCCTTACAGACAGCTCTTCGAATTCATTCACGCCTGGCGCTAATCGATCCGACTGTCTCTCGCCCACCGCCTGATTGCCCACTGAGCTAGTCGCTGCCTAGACGCCCGACTTTGGATGCTTACAGCTTCTCACGCAACAGCGACTCGAACGAACTCGAATCCCCCCGCCTTAGTGCGGCTTCTTTTACTTCTTTACAACTTAACTTTCACCATTTAACTGCTCCTCTCGGGGCATTCACACATTTTACTCGTACACAATGCCTACAGACAACATGGTAGGCTACGTGGAGGACGTTGACGAGGACATTGGCAGCACCATCGGCGTGGAGAGCACTCGCCGATACGCCAGATCAGCAGCCGCCAGGAGTCCTGAGCGTGAGCGATCCAACACCGGCAAGCCCAGAATGCCAGAGTCCGACTCCGATGATGAGACGGCCTCGAGCAGCAGCAGCCTCTCCGACTCTGACAGCACGCCCGCACCCACCAGGGACAGGACAAGGCCCGTTCCCGTCGAGCATAGACGCCCACTACACCACAAGGACCGAGACCACCGTCGCCCCCCTCAGGATTCTCGTCCCCCTCGCGACAACAGAGCCTTTGCTCGAGATGATCGCCAGAGACGCGAGAGGAGACCTAGGGAAGACGACGACGACCACAGAAGGCCGCCCCGACCTCAGCCCAAGGATAGAGACCCCAGAGACGCAAGAGATCCCAGAGACCTGAGAGACCCCAGGGGCCCTAAGAAGACCCGACCCGGCCCTCCCAAGCATGCCGCCTCTCAGCCCGTCGTCTCTCAAGGTGCTTACCGAAGAGGCCAGTTCGAAGACCCGGCCGCATATGGAGTTCAGCAGGCTCAGCAGCTCCAGCAGCCCGCTGCCTCTGGCCGGCCTCGTGCCAAATCTCGTCCTGCAAGCTACTACGCCGGACAGCCCCCACGGCCCCCTCTGGACATGGGCTGGCCTGGGCCTCATGCTCCCCTTCCTCCCCCTCCTGGGGCGTTTGGCATGGGCAACTTCCCGCCTCCTCACATGTTTCCTGGCGGTCCCCCAATGCACCCTGGCATGCCGCCGCCTCAGTCTCCCATGGGTATGGGCCCGCCTCCCTTCTTCGATGGTCCCAGCCCAATGGGACCGCCGCCTCCGGGAGAGCATCTCAGACATCGGTTCGATGGTGGCGGCCGGCCTGCTTCTGCTATGGGCTTTGGCTCTCCACCTGAGGCCATAGGCTACTTTAATGAAAAGTATGACGACTACGAGGAAGAGCAGCATCAAAAGGTTGCCCGCCGTTCTTCGCGTGCCAAGAAGGCGCCGCCGCCATTGGAGGAGCGCAAGAAGTTGCCGCCTTCCGAGTTTGCTCTCAAGCGTACTCAATCGGCCAGGCCAACTTCGGCCGCCTACAAGCCTCCTCCGTCTGCCCGCGAGCCGATGCGCGAGCCGATGCGTGAGCCGATGCGTGAGATGCGCGAGCCACTGCGTGAGGCACCACGGGAGCACACGCGAGACCACCAGCTCCGAGAGCGTCCGCTGTCTCGACAGGGCCACCAACGGCCGCCGCCATCGCACCGCCGGTCTGTGGGCTTTGTGGACCAGCAAGCTTTTGACGAGGATGACTTCCTAGGCGGCGAGGTGGACCTCTACCAAGAGGTCTCTCCCAACCAGCGCCGTACTGCCCTCGCCCGACCTCGACGCAGCAGTTCCGTCGCTTATGATCAACACGGCTACGACATTGTTCCCGCTGGCAACCGAGGCCGCCGCTCGTCCATGTACGGACCTCTCCCTGGGGAGTCTGGCGGCGTCAGCCTCGAAGAAGATGGCAGGTACTTTGATGCTCTGCGGTATCAAGAGGATGTGAGCGGAGGTGCGCCAATGCCCTTGACTGCTGAGACTCTGCGCAAGGCATCTAAGCGCGGGGAGCTGGCCAGCAGCCGATCCACCAGGAGCAGCGGCAGCCATGACGAAAGCGACTACAAGCGAAGCAGCCATACCACTGGCCTTACCACGCAGTCCTCGGCAGCCCACAACAATGACGACTTCACCATCAAAGTCTCCGGCCAAGCGGTCGTCAAGCTTCCCGGCGCCCAGATCGAGTGCGACGGAGGCGAGATCACCTTTAGCGGCAACCGAGGAGCCGGGGCCGGACCTGGCTCAGGAATGCACGGCGCTTCTCGCGCTGGCAGCGACAAGGAAAGCACCGTCTACCAGCTTGACGATGCACGCAGCTCTCGCATGGACCGCAAGGCGCTGCCGCATCGTCCTCGCGCAACCAGCCAATCCGATGTTCACAGCCGCATCTACGCTCCGGTCCACGCTCCGATCCACGCTCCGATCCACGCCCCGTACGAACATGCCCCGTATGAGCATGTTCCATATGAGCACGCCCCATACGAGCAAGCCCCATATGAGCATGGCCCATACGATGCTTTTGAGCCATATGAGCCCGTCACTTATGAACATGCTCCCTACGACCCGTCCCTTGCTGCCTCCAACTTTTATTAATGTTGACGACCAAAAACGAAGAACCATTCTCAAAAATTTACGAAGCTAAACTCACGACTTATGCCATGATGAAAAGTGCTTTTTTTTGTCTTTCCTCAATATTGACGACATACAAACGATGTTGAGGTCACTGGTTCTGCTTCTTTTTCGAAGACCGACTGAATGATTTTTTTTTCTCATCTCTGTTTCTCCATTTCTGTTTCCATTTCCATTATTTACGACGTTTCTTCTTCTTCTCTTCTTTTCTCCCTCACATCCAGCGCTTGGCTTGGTGGTTCATATACCCTGCCGCCATTCCATGGCAGCAAAACTTTCTGATACCCCCGAAAAGTTGGCGATGGGAAGGATATTGTGTGCTTTCTACTAGGCGGATCTTGGTACACGTGTATTGGGTTTCATTTCATTTCATTCTTCATCTTTTTCCATTTATTTTCCTTTTGCATACTCAGCTTTGCTTTGAGCGCCGCACAGCCTGCAAAGAAGTGTCGGTGAGATAATCGAGGATGGATTTGGCAGGCAGGGAGAAAGCTGGTCTGACTCCCCCAACCTTGCCGTTTGGGAGATGGCGCCATCTCCAAGGAGGGCTGTGTTTAATTCTTCTCTCGGGCCTGGATTTGACGACGCTCGAATACAGCCGTCTCCCTTCCCATCTACACCCTTTTTCGGAGCTGGCACTTTGTGGCCAATGTCTTTTATTTTACTTTTTGGGTTTGGCAATTTTTCAGTCTACTACTATAGCGGCTCTTTGTGTTAAGAGGAGGATTTTATCGAACTGTCTGATTTATTCATTTTCTCATCAATGTTACGAAAGCGATAGAATGTACGAGCAATGGGGGTTCACACCCCCTTCACTCCCTCTGCCGTACACGAGGGGCTCTTTGATTCTCAACTGGCATGCTATTTACTCCCCGTGCTCCGGCTCCTTTTCCCTCCGAGACAAAAACCTCTTCTGCTTCCTCCCTCCTTGGGGGGAGAGAGAGCTGTGATTTGCGGCCACGTGCACTGGAGCCGGACTCTGATACCCCTCACGGCTTACCCTTGTGGGCTAGCACGCATAATGCGAGGAGGGAGGTGCATGCACGCATGGCTCGAGGAGGACGTGATACAATGGATAGACACGATGCTGCAGGGAAGGACGATGTGGTATGTATGGTGGTTTAGATTACGAAGCGGGGGGGTGTTTGGATAGCATGCGCTGCTGGAGGGATTGGCTTGACGATTCTTTCACGACCTGATGACGAACCAAAAGCGTTGATTTTCTTGTCTTTTTCTCTTTTCTTTTTCTTTAACGATGGACTATGTATTTTTTGTTATCGAAGCATGTATTTGTCTTCATTTCTATATCTAATAAATGGCCTCTGGCGGCCGTCTACCTGAATTGCGTTTGCACCACCAGTGACATTCAAAGGCATGAATCAAGCAATACTCCATACAAGTTTATGCAGGGAGCCAGGCAGGCGGTGAATCAAGCGGAAGAGCTGAGAAGCCTCCACGTAGTCAGTGTGGATCACAGTACGATCCTTTTGTGATGCACGTTTCCATCGAGGCTGAGGCTGGTCTGCAAAGTAGCACGAGCACAAGCACGAGCACAATAACGAGCAAGCAAGAAAGCAGTGAGAAAACCTGCTGTACTGTATCAATACGACGATGAGCTAGTTCTGATGCTTCTTGTGTAATCAATACGATTAGCGTGTTCTGATGCTCTTGTGTAAGGCAAACTGCAGTGACACTTTACAGCTCAGATCTCGAGTCCCACAAGCCCTCCACTGAGAAGCAGCAGGTGGAGCGTGATTGGATCGATCGATGGGGGTGGGGCGTTGCTGGGTTAGGATATTTACTTGCGTGTGCGTCATCCCGATTTGGAACTTGTAAGGAAACACACAAAAGGTACATATCAAGTAAAACAGCTGAGAGATGATGTAAAGGGTGCCAAACAATTTCAATTATTGGTGTAATAGACATTTTAAAAATAAACAATTTACATCAAACCGGCCGCTTACGATGTTAGTGAGAGGCCGTATTGCATGCATCGATCAGCGAAAAAAAGCGAGTTTGATTGGTTCTTAGCGCTGCCAACCCCCCCAGCCACGGTATTTTTTGCGGTTTCTGTAGGAACAAACCGCGCGCCCCCGGTAAGCTTCTTCCGCCGCACCATTCTGCCCATCTGCACTTCTTGTTTTCGCTAGTGTTTTTTCCCGACTCTTCAACCTCAAATCTGGGGGTTGACGATTGTTTCTAGTTGTTTACTGGTTTTTAATCGGTGGGATATAGTTGCACTTTTGTGCACTGATTCGGGATCCCCCTTTTTTGCCTGGATAAGAGCGATATTATCGAGGCTCAACTTGAGCTGCTCGCGTATCTACGAGTGCTCGCCGGAGAGACAATCCGCATTCCAACACTCTCGACTCGGCCAAGGACTTTCCAATCACCATGGCGCCGGCGGTGGTGAGTGCCGGCACAGGCCTTACCGGCACAGCGACCGTCAATGTCATCGACACCGACAAATTCCCGGCAGATGGGCCTCTCCTCCAGGGAGCCCGCGTCTTTGCCCGACTCGCCAAGCGAACCAATGATCCATCCAAGGGCGTTCTCGACCCTCACGACATCAACAACGTCGGCTTCTTCTTCCTCTTCGCGCTCATCGGCATTGCCTTTGTCGCCACTGGCATCTGGTTCTTCTTCTATGCCAAGAACGGCGGCATTGTCTTCAAGGATAACGATTGGGACGACTACAAGTCTACGGTTTTGCGTCGCAGGGGACCCAACGGCACGGTTCTCTCGGGAGCCACCGAGTCGACTGATCTGGGAGGCGGCAGCGTTTACAAGCGATACGACGACCATGACGATGATGACCGGAGAACCGCAATCACGGACAGCACGTACTTGACTGGCATTACTGCGGGCGCGAGTGACATTTTCGCCCGCGAGAAGCGCAAGAAGAAGAAGGAGGCCCGCGAGGCTGAACGCAGAAAGCGACGCGGCGAGAAGGGCAAATCGACTGAGGGTACTGCATTCGAGGGCGTCCAGGATGAAAAGGCGGAGCGCGAGGCCAAGAAGCTTCTGCGCAGCTACCGTCACGAAAAGGCGGCTCGCGTTGGTGGAATCAACAAGGAGGCCGAAGGCTCGGAGTGGGAAGGTTCCACGAACGCGGCTGAGTCTTCCGTCGGAGCCACGTCAGAACTGCTTGCGAACCAGGAACCCACGCCTACCTCGGAGCCTCCCAAGACGTCTGCTCCCCCCAAGTCGACGCCCAAGAGCGGAGGCATTCGAAAGGTGTACTCGACTGCGGACCGGAGAGAGAGCAAGGAGGCGGAGCGGGAGCGTGCCGAGGCCCGAAGACTGCGGGCCGCCAACAGGGTTGCTCAGCGGGACTTTGGATACCAGAGAGCGGCGGGCGCGGTGACGAACAGCCAGCTGAGCGAGAGTCTGCTCTCGGGTAGTGGTACCGGCGATTCGACGACGCTTGGTGAGAGTAGTATTCCTGAGGAGGAGAGCGAGGTTGGCACCAAGAGCTACCACCATCCCATGCCGGAGCTGAAGGAGCAGAGGCGGAGGGAGAGAGAGGAGCGCAGGGCGAGGCGCAGCAAGAGCGGATACCGACGTGGAAATACGGATGAGAATACCGATGTTTAAAGGGGGGCTGGGATTGATGACGGCGGGATGAGATTTACTTGAAGGGCTGACTCGCTTTTTCCTTTTTTGTAAAGCGTTTTGGGTCTTTTGCTGGGTTTTCACGCGGGATATTTGGGTTTTTTGATGAGGGATTGGGATGGAGGCGGTATTAAATGTCTTTTTTTTTTGTTTCTCTTTCTTTTGTTATGCAGGCATGTAGATATGAAGATGAGATGAGATGAGATGCACGGTATGAGGGGAGGGTTTGGGTGCAGAAAGTGAGTAACGCAATGGGACATGAATGAAGTATGCGATAGTCGATAGCCTTTTGCCGTATGAATACATGTATAATGGTATTTGATTATTTTTTCAATATTAAGCCCTTGATTCCTTTGGCAATTTGTTCCCTTCGACTCATTTTGAGATGTGTAGTTATTTGTTCCCTTGACTCATTTGGGAGATGTGCGGCTAGATGTTGGTTTGTTCCCTTCAATTCCTTTTGACAATGGATGCCTCATTGAATTGCGTCGAATGAACACTCTTTGCTTCAATGACTCTTGCTCTCACGCCGGGCTTACAGTAACATTTTGCTTTGATAATCGTCGGTACCTACCTTAGTACCTGAACCGATGGATTCGTATTGTGCTAGTGTTTACGAGTACAACTCCAGTCTTACGTGTACGCGGAGATTTGGTGCTCAGGAACAGGAACAGGAACAGAGGGTGTCCGTCCGATCCCGCCCTTGCGTTCAGGTCGCGTCTGGATTTTTTTATGGACGTGTTGGGCGGCGGCGGTTACATTTTTCGTGTTTGGCTATTTACAGAATTTGGTAGGTGGCGCTTATTTATTTATTTGTTTTCAAAGTTTATTTGGGTTTGTCTTTTCATTGCACGGTTTAGTAATGTTGTTGACGGAGACGCGGCTATGATTGCTATGAATAGCATCAATGGATGTTCCATGGAGCGCGGACCCAATTGAAAAGGTCCAATCCTGGACAGAACCCTGAAAGATTGAAAATAAAGACGGCACGGCAGCGAGAAATGGCACGCATAAGCAACCCGTGGAACCCCCTCTGGGGGAGCAGGAGGTGCATTGACAGGGCGAGACAGCATAAAAGCGGTTTGAAACTCACGGGCTGTGAGGGTGAAACTACAGGGGTTGTTTTGTCTTTTTTTTTTTTTTAGGTGAGGTGGACTTTGGATTAGGCGCCCGGGTCGTCCGAAGGGGTCAATAGGTTTGAAGGTCGGTTTGGATTGAGATGCGGGTGTTTTGGTGTGAGCATTGCGAGATGTTGCGCTTGGGGTTTCAGATGCGGCAATGCAGGATGAGGATGAAGATAAGGGTTTATGAGTTTTTGTATGAGACGACAATGAATGGTGTCCAGTTGATGCACGGCTGTTTTGTTGCTCACGAGGCTGCCTGCTTGTCATCCGCATTGCGTCACACAGGCCGCTAGCACCAATGCTAAAGGTACCGCGGGAGAAAGTACCGAGTACTGAGTCGTCGGGGGTCTGCCGCAACGGAAGGGACTTATGCTTCCCCGCTAAGCCGATAGAAGTGTCCACTATAAATCTATAGAAAATACTATCTGGTGCATTGAAGAGATCTCGTATCTCCCTGCTGCGTGCACATGCATCGCCCGGGTCTCCAGTACCTCCCTCCAGACAATGCCCGCTCTTCTCCATGACCTGACATTCCAGATTCCACAACCTGCACCTGCGGCCCCACAGATTTGCCTCTTCAAACCCAGCCTCTCGTCGTTGCGTTTCTCTTCGATCCCGGCCTAGCTTCAGCTCCTCCAGTGGCCCTTTGCCCAGCTGGGACACATTTCTGCTGTTCTATCCTCTTCTCGTCTCGTCCTTCTACCTGTAGCCTGGGGGATCGTACCAGGGAAGACAAACGTCCAATCCTCAGCATTCTTTTTGTCTTTTTGTCGTGCTTCTCTTTTTTTTCTTCCTTTTTGGATCTCTACTTGACGCAATCTCCTTTGTCTAAACACAATTCCCCCTTTCCGGCATTCTCCTCCATTTGTTTCTGGTCCCTTTTTTCCCCTTCTCTTTCTTTCGTACCTACGCCCGTCTCTCCCACATCGTCATCCATCTCCTCAATTCCCTCACGGGTTCTCACTTTAGCGGTTCTGGGTTCTGGGCCCCTGCGGGAGCCAAGCGCCAGTTGGGCTGTTTAGCTGTGCCACTCGCTGCTCGCTGCCGCTTTAGTCCCTGCTAGCTGCTGTTGGGCTCTACCAGCAGCCTCCAGTCGTGTGTACACTTGCCCGCTAGCACGAGTAATCCGCTACAGTACAGCCTGGCTGCGTTATCTCCCGAGTCGTTCGCCTCTCTCTCCCTCTGTGGCGAGGCACCACCGTCCGTGTCCGCCCAAACGCAATCTTTCCATCAACCCTCCACTACTTTATTTTCGCCCTCTGGCAGCGGCTGCTCCGGAACGGTCCGATCGAGAGAACTTCTTTTTTCTTTTTCTTCTTTCTTTCCTTGCTGGAATCGCACGAGCGACGACTCGAGACTTTTTGGTTGCTGCGTCTACGAAACCTCGACATTCCGCGGAATCGCTCGCCTGCGCACTCGACTGCAGATCCGGCTTTGGAGCAGCATCATCCCCCGCAGCCTCCTCACCACACGCCCGTCGACAACTCGCAGCGCCGCGACCGTCGCGGCGGAGACGCCGTCTCGTCCTTTGGCTCCTCGGAGTCTCTCTTTTTTTCCTCGTTTCGCTGCGAGCGAATGCTAGATTCTTGCTTTGTTCCATCGCTTCGGCTGGCACTTGATTTAAAAAGCACTCCATCACAATGGCGACGTCACCATCTTCGGCCTTGACGGGCGTCATCATCGGCCTGGCGTCTTCCTTTGGCTCCATCGTCCTCATCTTCCTCGTCATCTTCATCTTCTGGGCCTCGGGATGCGCTGGCTCCGGTCGAATCATCCTCGACCGCATCGGCCGACCGGGTGAATACGATGACGAACAGGCGTTTGCGAGGGAAGAGGCCGAGGCCTTGGAGAACATGGACGACATGTCCAGGACGGAATACCTGAGGGCCAAAGGTACACCGAGCCATCCGCGCACCGTAGCCAACATACTGACTGTAGGATTGTAGCATTCGTCACTGCGAACCCCCCAGAGTCTGCGCAAACCGATATTTCGCTCTCACAATACCTTGCTATCCAGGAAAAGGGCGTGTCCGCCTGGGAGTTTGAGCCCGAGCTGGAAATTGCAAATTGCTTCGTCCAGGCCCGAACCGAGATTGAGTTTTTCGATTCCGAGTGCACCGTCATGAGCAACCTGCCCGTGCCCAAGCAAAACGACGTCTACTACTGGGAGGCCAAGGTCTACGAAAAGCCCGAGAACACGCTTGTTGCTATTGGTATGGCCACCAAGCCATACCCTCTCTTTAGACTGCCTGGTGAGTTTTCCCCTTTTGTTCCAATGATAGCGCTGCCTTGCGACACGGAGTGTACTGACAACTACGATAGGCTTCCACAAGTACTCCGTTGCCTACCATTCAAACGGCTCACGACACTACAACCAACCATTCAGCCGAACCCCGTATGGCCCCCAGATTGTTACTGGTGATGTTATCGGTGTTGGCTACAGACCGCGAACGGGCGTCATCTTCTTCACACGAAACGGCAAGAAGCTCGAGGAAGTGGTTCATGGCTTAAAATCTCAAAACTTCTTCCCGGCCATCGGAGCCAACGGGCCCGCGACAGTTCACGTCAACTTTGGTCAGTCTGGTTTCGTCTTCATCGAGGCAAATGTCAAGAAATGGGGCCTGGCCCCTGTCACTGGCAGCCTGGCTCCCCCGCCCCCGTACGGCTCTGAGCAAGGCAGCATTCTTCTGGAAACCGGTACCAAGGATGGCTTTACCTCTGCGCAAGGCCGGGCTCATCGACACTCTGTCAGCGGCACGCCATACAGCGTTAGAGTTGGCGAGAATGATCTCAACGTACAGCACGGACGATCACGCAGCGGAAATTTCAGGGTTCTCCCTCCCACCAGCCCCGGTCCTGTCAGGAGTCCAACCGACATCTCGCTTGCCCAGCTCGTGCCATCCGATGAAGGTGGTGAGGCTAGCAGCAGCACACACCCTGCGCACGAACAGCATTTCGACGGCAACCCGCTTCAGCTCCACCTCGAGGACGCTACCAACCCGCCGCCCGATTATTCAAGTCCAACCTATACCCAGAATCGCAACCGCCGATACAGCACGGACAGCGAGGATGAAAACGCTCCTCTCATCCATGTCGTGACTCGCAGCAGGGGTGAATCTTCGGCAACAATCCGGCCTGCAGGACATGGCCAACCCGCCCCGCCCCAAGATCCTGTCCCGAGTTACAGCGACGCGATACAACAGGGGGCGAGCCCAATTCGACGTGAACGAAGCAATAGCTCTGAGTCCGAAGCCTCGGTCCAAAGTTCGGAGAGCGGGTCCTCATCTAGCTGAAATAGTCTGTTAAGAGACAGCCTACGCAACCCACTTGGCAAACGAATTCACGAAAACAAACCGAACGTCTAGACCCTGCAGAAGAGTCATCAAATCGACCCGGTTCACCAATTTACATCATAAGCAAGGAGTCAAGGGTTGAACTGAACATATGGAGCCAGGCTACTCAACAATGGCACTTGCTATACACACACGCATGCCATCACATTCACAAATACACACTTTTTGCACACTGTTACATATCTCGCACGGGCGCCTTGGAGTTTGAATAGCATTGGGATCTACCGTCACGACGGATACACATCGTTTGGGGCTTTTTTTTTGTCTTGATTGTTTATTTTATATGTGTTAGCAGCCCTCAACCTCTCTCCGCACCTTAGAACAGGTCCGCCCTTTTATATATATCTTTCTGCTATGGACGGAAATACTTTTTCCAAATGGGAGGAAACTATGAAACATGATACCACCTCTTGAAGGCCCTGGCGAAAAACTGCGACTATTTGAATTTTTCTTTTGTTCCTCTGACTTGCTGGTTTTCGCCTTTTTTTTTTTCTCTTTTTTGATTAAAACTGTGGTGGAGGAGGCGGAAGACTGGAAGGACTTGTTTTAGTGCTTTCAGGTGGCATGAAGTGTAGATACAGTAGTTGGTTTAAATAGTAAAAAGGGCTTCAATTTGGCATTGTTTTGTCCGGTTTGTGTGTGTATGTGATTTGTGGTTCGTGGTAATTGTGACGTGTGGGTTGCATTCTTGAGGATTGGCGTTGATTGAATGCGGCAGTGTTTGATCTACTCCGTAGAAGCCAACTTGATCCTAGCTAAGTTGGCCTTAAGCTTTAATGTTAGTGCCATTGACTAAGATCCGTTGCGTGTGGTCTTGAATCCACTGCTTTGCATGGAATTACAGTTGTGATCGACTGTCTGCGACCACCCAACCCAAGTATTGAAACTGCATCAGTTGTATGGGAGCGATATTTCACGACTCCTCACCTTTCCAGTTCCATGAAGAGGAGGATTAGATAGTTCTGATCACTTTGAATCATAAATAATCGCTGCTTGGCATAATTATTTATGTCAATTGAAAGACAGATGTTCTATTCGAAGCATTGAAGTGTCAAGGATGATACTTCTTGAAGCTCCAGGGGCAAGCTTCAGCCGTCACTAGTAGTTGCGAGGCATGCCTGACGATATATTAGTAATTACCTCGAATTAAAGTAGTCATTGGCCAAGTGACTCCTAAAATGCTGTATCCTGACTCTCGATGAAGTTGTGTATTTCCGACAGCAGTGTTAATCTCAAAGAGCTGTCCGAGACATTCGGGAAGAATTCCCGCGAGTATGCCATCTGCTACCTACAAGATTCCAGATAAATCAGACACACACACACACACACACACACACACACACACACACACAAAAAAAAAAGCGTATGAATAATTCCATGACTCTATTCAATCTTTGTCAAGCACTTCTGACCTGGCGACAGTTGAGCGGTATATGGTCGATATGTACCTGGTGTAACTCGTATGCGGCTTGAAGTTATACGAGTAACCGCCCAGTCCCCCTCTTTTCATTTGGTAGCATATGTCTTTATTACAATACTTTTCTCTTCCTCCAAAGAGTATATTCTTTCCTTACTTCTACAGGAAACATACGTCTTTATTAGCAATATTGTTCTTCCTCCAAAGTGTATATTTTCCTTTGCTTCTATTGATATCAACGACATACTCGTTCTACAGCTAGAGGTCCAATACCACAGGTGCTGTTAAGAGCTTCAATCTTCCGTCCTTTCCGAGAGTCGTTTCTGCGGGTATGGTACACTCTGATGAGTTTACAGTAGGCTGGATCTGCGCTATAAGCACGGAATTGACAGCCGCCCAAAGTTTTCTTGATGAGAAATATGACTCAGTCACGAATGTTTCCCAAGGAGATTATAACAACTATACGCTAGGTCAAATTGCATCCCACAACGTTGTTATGACTGTTTTACCCGATGGGGAGCATGGAACAGCAGCTGCAGCAGTCGTTGCTGTGACTATGCTAAACAAGTTTCCCAATATCAGAATCGGCTTGATGGTTGGCATTGCCGGTGGTGCGCCCAGCAAGAACCATGACATTCGGCTGGGCGACGTTGTGGTGAGCTATCCTCTTGATGGAAGAGGTGGTGTGCTGCAATATGACTTTGGGAAAACAATCCAGAATCAGGCATTCCAGATCACACGGTTTCTCGACCCGCCTCCCTTTCTCCTACGTTCGGCCGTAAGCGCCCTCATGGCAAACTATGAGAGCTCGGGTCATGATATTAAAAGGACCATCGAGAAAATTATAGAACAAACTCCTCGACTTCGGGAAAAATACCAGCGACCACCTCTCAGCAGCGATATATTGTATCGATCTGCAATTATTCATCCTACAGATAGTGAAAACCCCTGCTTAGAGCTTTGTGGAGTTGACCCATCACGTACCATCAGGAGAGAGCCCCGGGATAATGACTACGAGGATGATCCTGCTATTCATTACGGAGTGATCGCATCAGCAAAGCGGGTAATGAAAGATGCTCAGATCAGGGACAAGCTTGCTGCAGAAAAAAATGTGCTATGTTTCGAAATGGAAGCGGCAGGGTTGATGAACCTTTTCCCATGTTTGGTTATCCGAGGCATATGCGATTACTCAGATACTCATAAGAACAAGCAGTGGCAGGGATACGCAGCAATGACCGCAGCTGCATACGCAAAAGATCTTCTCTCTCTAATGCCATCCGTACAAATTGCAGCTGTACAACCGAGCAAAGAAGATTTTGCTTCTATGGCGGGGACTAAACCCGGAGAAGCTGCTTCCGGAAGACCAGGAGGAATGCGCTGTTATCTGACTGTCCCACCCACGGTATGTGTGCTACATGTTGTAGAAGTGGAAACTGAACTGATGCCAATGTCGATGTAGAGTGATTTAGTGGGATATCTGAGCAGAGATTCTGTCGACACGTGTATCGCAAGGGACCGTGAGCAATTCATTTCCAAAACGAGAGAGCTGATTCAGAAAATCATCAACGCCAATACCTCCGGGGGCATCTGGCACAATCGTGATGAGGTGTGGGAGTTGTCTCGCCAATGGAGGGAGTATTTCCGTTTGCACAGGACGATTCCGTTTGAAGAGGAGTTGAGTGGCGCTCCGTCTCCTGAGATGACACGATCGTATCTGATGCGTATGATATCTGACACTCGCCTGGGCGGGGATGGCATTTCTCGCCAAACGGCAGATTTGTACGATGTTATCGCCGTTATGGACTATGTTGGTGGATGGCAAAATGCTGATATTGAGGGAGAAGAGGGTTACGAATGGATTTAGAACAGGTAATGGGTTGGTATTGAAGATCAACCCTGAAATCTTTCTTTGTCTGCTAGAGTTTATTACATGCAGTCCTTTAACATATATATTATTAAAGACATTATTACTCCGGAGAAGCAATGGTTTTACCTTCCATGCCCAGCAAACCACCAACATGTCGAGCCATACTTCACTCCTTTTTGACATAGTCACCAAGCTGTAGACCATTGACTGTTTTAAATAGCTCCTCAATGATTGGGCTGGTTTTAGCAGCAAGACTGCAGCGGGGGGGAGGCGGTTTAGTTTTGTCTTCGGGATCGGAGGCGGGTTTACCAAAGAGACCTCCTGATGGAGTAGGTTTGCCAAAGAGACTCCCCGATGGAACAGTTGAACCAAAGAGACCTCCCGACGAAGCGTTTGTGCCAAATCCCCCTGACGGAGCGGTAGTGCCATTGCCAAATAGACCCCCAGTTGGCGCGGGAGTGCCATTGCCAAAGAGGCCGCCCCCAGTCGGAGCAGCATTGGCCTTTTTGCCAAATTGGAAACCTGGACCTCCAGTCGGAGCGGTATTACCACTGCCAAACAGACCTCCAGTCGGAACGGTATTGGCATTGTTGCCAAATAGACCTCCCAATGAAGCATTTGTTCCAAATCCCCCGGTCGGGGCGGAAGTACCACTTCCAAACAGACCCCCAGATGAAGTAGCAGGGAAACCAGATCTTGGAGCGGTGGCGGCTGGAGCGGGAGGAGTCTTGGTATTTGTGGAAGGGGCGCCATCAGAATCATTGCTGGACTTTGTAGTCGTCTTTGTAGATTCCTCTGTAGATTCCTTTGGAGGCGTAGAACTCTCCGGGCAGTTACTTTTCCAGGTTGGTTCCTTGATGTCGCGAATGGCCTGTTCAAGGGTCAACAGGCTGTGGCCAGGCCATGGGCTGACTAAGGTATGATCCATGACGCCCATCTTGGACATGGCCTTGAGGAGAGCGCCCAAGTGTATGGAGGAGCATTCGAACGAGTGCGCTTGATCCTCGCACAAGCGCCGCCTCACTTCAAAAAATTCAGCTACAACGGTCTCAATGGCATCCTCCCGTGACTTGTTGAGCGCGTCTAGAACCAAAGGTCAGCTAATGTCGACTACGATGTCGTAGCATCATGAAATTTTTTGGAACTTTTTTTAATACCTATGATTTTTTGCTGAATTGGTAGGCCAAGCGAATCGATGGGCCCGGTGGCCCCCCATATAATCGTCTTTGTTAATAGCTGAAAGTTGAATACTTCTGAAAACACCAAGCATACGACGAGCCTGAGCATGTAGTCTCTTTCGCCCTTCCTCGGAATAACGATGAATATGGAGCTTAGCCACGTCTGTGAGTAGAAGGCGACAGCTTCATGACATTGGTAGTAGTCGACCAGAACGGCCACCTTGGCAAGCAACTCGAGGTCAATATATCGCGGAACCTTTGAGGTCCGCCCGTGGATGATGTTCATCAAAAGCAGCAGCGCCTTTTCGTCCCAGTCATTTGCGTTGATAACATACGAATAGCCAACGTCAGGCGTGGCCTCCTTGGATTCCTTCCAATTATTGGCCGTCATTTTCTGGAAATACTTGGATGCTAATGTGAGATGCTTTGACGAGAGGCGCATTTGTACTGTCGGTTTGCTGTCTGCATCCTTTGGCTTGCTGCCTTGCTCCTTCGGCTTGCTGTCTGCATCCGGCGCCTTGCCTGCTGTTTTATCATCTGGAGTTGAGTCAGCTGCTTTCTGTTTTGCTTGTGCTCCTGATGATGGAAGAACCGCAAATGGCGCATTTGCATTCTGGAGGATGAGAAGCGTATCCCCGCTGGGGTCGATTTCGTAAAAGGTCAACCCCATTGTACTGGTTCAAAGTGACGGCTATGTAACGACAGGGAAATGGTTAGAATGCCATGAAATGCAGCCTCGAAAAGCAGACATGGCAGCCTTATAAGCGCTGCGTTGAATTGGCTGCATGATGGATGGCTCGATTTAGCTACACGGGCGCTAAATACGCGACCCCAAGGAATATGAACATGAGCATGCAGGAGCTGAAATCATTTATTGCTTCGTTTTGATTAACTGGATGTGACAAACCAATTGGATGGGGGCTATGCAGAAGAGAATGACAGGGGTGAACCAACAGATAAAGGCACAAGGGAGGGGTTGTGAAGTGAATGAGTGTGCGGCTGAACTCGATACAGCATGCATCCATTTCACCCGATCCGAGGACTGCAAAGAGTGAACAAAAGTGTGACGTGACCCGACAGAGTGGGATCATGAAAACGTGGGAAATGGGTCTGGATGGGTCTCACTTCATCTGATCTCTCCAACATCGGACGCTTATCCGCTTGGCGGAATGTAGATAATTAACTTGATATACGGACATTAATTGGCGTCACTGGGTGACATGAAAAGAAGTACCATGCAATGTCTGTGGCTATCATCTACCTAGGATCAAATCCATGTGACCATCGAAGAGGTGTGCTGAATTACAAATAGCGTCTTCCCAGCAACCATCGAGCTCTATGCAGTTCCAGTATTTGTAAAGGCATTCAAATAAAAGACCAAACCACCCAATTGTTTCATCATCATAATCTAGCACTCAAGACCCGGCCTCTCTAATGGACCAGGTTTCTCAAGCAGATATAGTAGATCTGCTATATGTAAATGCAATCACGAGCCCCGTAACGCCAATGCCATGCAAACAACATTAAGATGCAGTTTATCCCACCACCTCAAAGTCAAACCCGAGTTCGTCAACGATCGCTTCAAATTCAATCTCTTCCTCTCCAAGCTCCTTCTTCTCTTCCTTCGGCGTTTCCGCTGACAGGAATGGTTCTGCATTTCCTTCCACAGCCCTTTCTACCAATTCTGGCCAATAGTCGAATCCATCACGCACTGTAAAGCCGGCCTTGGAGCCAAGAAACAGGCGTCCGAGCTTCGCTCTGGTGCCCTCGACCTTCTCAAGCCGCACCAGTCGATAGCCGAGGAAGACAATGGTCTCTTCCTCGTAGTATGCCGAGTAGCCCTTTTCTCTGAGGACTTGGAAACGACCTCCAGCACCGATGTTGACATTTAAGGTAGGCTCCGGAATGGGTACCTTGACTTCGGCGCCGACACCTGACGAGTGACTGGTTGAATCATTAATTTCCATATTTGTCAGGGTGACGATGTCGGTGATAAAGTAACCCTGGTCGTGGTTACTCCGCAGCAACTCGAATAGCTCTTCGAAATATTCCTTGTTCTTGAGAAGCTCCTTGAACTTCTCGCCGGGCGAGTCCATGTGCCATATCCTCGCTACCGTGGCCATCTTCTCGCTGTTGTCCTCCTTGGCCCGGTCCACAAACGCCTCGAGAATCTCATTGAGCGACGCCGAGACGCCGGCATCTTTGATGCGACGGGTCCAGAACTTGACGTTGCGCACCTGGATGGGCTTGGGGTCGAGATCTGGGACAATATCTCGGGGCAGCTTTGCGCCCGTTCGGTAGGGGATGTGGCGTTCGGTGGGAAGGTCTGGGTATTTGACGACGCTGCCGATCAGCTTGTCGCGATAGACGCCGGCGTCGAGGCGTGGCTGGATGAGCCAGAGAGGCTTCGTCTCGTGAGCGTGCGGCATCGTGTCTGCGTCAAGTTTGGTGTTGTTGTTGCTGTCGGTAGTGTTACAGCTGCTGTTGCTGTTGCTGTTGCTGCCGATGTGAAGATGTGTATGTGAAAAGACTGAAGGCAGGTGGCTGCTGTGAGGCTGCGGGCTTATAACGACAGCCGTAGACATTGTAGGAGGAAAAAGAGAAGCAGGAGACTGGAGTATTAAAGCCAATGGATATAGGCAGGTAGAAGCAATAGCGGCAGTGAGATCTGCTAGGGCTATTTCAGCTGTGCTACTTTGTTTACTTTCTCCAGCAGAGCTAGTAATGCAAGTAATTGGTGTAAAAGAAGTCGGTGAATCTCGAGCTGGCGGTGAATAATAAATAGTTATTCGAATATTACAGTTCAAAACATTATTTCTAATTAGACTATGTTTATTGCAATCGCCGAAGTTCTCTTCAGAAAGACTTCGCCGCATCAGTCATATATGGTTGATGGCCTTGAAATGTGGCATGTGACGTCGTTGTTCCTGAGAAGAGGCCGCCACTTTGCTAAGTTTAGGCTGCGCCACAAGGCCTAACATCGCCTTGTGATTCGGTGTGCGCTCGCTGCGCCACATATAGATTGATGCCAGTCATCGAGGCTCTAGAACGAGGCAGCGGCTATTCAAGGGCCGGGGAGGAAGCGTGCTCGTGCCTGATGAGCGGGCATTTTATTGGTATTGGACAATGAATATATTAGGCGAATCCCAATAGTAGGAGCAGCAAAGGTAGCAGAGGTATGTACCTTGACCCAAAGGTCAATACCTGGTTCTCTTTAAGCGCTTAGAAAAGGTATAACTCTGATTCCGCCAGGTACATGCCGCCTCATCGGACAAGCTTCATTCTAGGCTATTCCTTTTCATTTCCAGCAAACTCTCTAATTTACAGTTGGTTTTTCATCGCCACCACCGGCCAACTCTCGCCTGCAAAGGCTTCGGTACTCGTATGTTGACTAACACGGGATGGCTATGGCCGGCATGGAGTCTCGCGCCACTTGGTCCCATGAGCCAAAGCAGCAAAATAGCAACCCAACCAGTTCATCCCAGAGTCTGCCTGGCGATGGCAGGCCATGAACTTTAGGGCTGGCATTAACTTGGATGGTACTGTATGTTGGCTTGGTACCTATGATTCAGAAGTAGAACTGTAAATTGTGTAAGAAACACGGAGGCACATGCTGACTTTTAGCACCCTCAGCCACTATAACCATAAGCTCATACAGGGAATCACCTTCTGTATTCATTGTGCACCAGCCACACTTCTTCCTTCGTTCTTGTCAGGCCGTCATCTCTCCCTTTCAGCTCCTTTGTGCCACTCCCAAACTTGACACTTCCATCATCTTGTCTTTGCATCTCGTGAGCTTCACATTTGCGCATTATAATCCATCAATTGTGAAATGCCCAGTGAAAAGATCAACCATACCACAATATTCTCGACGCCCAATATTTGACTAAATGGACTCGCGAGAGTCGTCGTTCAAGGGCTTGTTCCACCGCGTACGGGGCGCCTTTACACGACAAGGAAGCTCAGAGGGAAGCGGTTTGCAGGTTGTGCAGGACCCCGAAGATGCAGAAATAGAGTATGTTCAGACACCCATGCTCTGATATTTTAGCTAACTGAGTGAATGCAGCATCGTGGCCGTTCATGGCCTTGGGGGACAAGGCTTCAAAGCATGGATCTCGCTGGAAGGCGGCAAGTCCAAATCCTGGTTGGAGGACCTTCTCGCAAAGGATATCCCCAACGCCAGGATCATGACGTATGGCTATATTTCTGATGGAGCCAACTACCGGTATCTCGTACGCAATGTGCTCTATGGCAGGGCCTTGGACCTGGTTAAAGAGCTAGGGAGCCAACGCTGTCGTGATGGGACAAACGAACGACCACTATTCTTCATTGCGCATAGTTTAGGAGGGTGGATCGTCAAACGCGCTCTCATCATCTCCAGCGAGGCTATAGATGCAGAGCTCAAAGACATTGAGCTGTCAACTTGTGGAGTTGCATTTTTGGGGACCTTGTCTCCTGGGAGGCCACTATCGCCAACACCACTTGCACATGTCATTCGAAGGACGACTTCAGGGTTTGATGACCATCCAAGTTCTACTCGCGGACAGTCCATGCAGGCGCATGATATTGAATGGTTGGAAAGTCAGATGGAGGCGTTTAAAGCAATCACAGCGACCCTGCCGCAGCTTTCCTTTCATGAGACGAAGCGGTCAGAGCATGGGTTTGTCGTCGAACAGCGGCATTCCATGTCTGGCTCAGATGGTGTGCAAATCGGCTTGTCCGCTACTCATTCGGGCTTGGTTCAATTTGAGGGTCGCGATGCAAACTACAAGGCGTTTGTAGAAAAGTTCCGCGAAATGATACATAAAGCCAAAGATTCGGGGCTGTTGGAGACGAAGCGAAAAGCATTTGACCATGTGACAGGTGAGCGCGCAGTTTCACTTTCAAGTCGATAATACTAATGTGGATCTAGATCAACACCTGGAGTACCTGTCTGAAGGCTTCGATATTCCATATAGGCTGCCCGGTGACCCGGGCGTCATAATACACAGAAATAGTCTACTTGAACTCGTCGAGGCGAGCTTCAAACCATCCCCAGATCGACAAGCCCTGAATATCAGTATCGCCGGCCTATGGGGAGATGCTGGCGTTGGCAAGACTACTCTTGCTAGAGACTACGCCGAGGTCAACAAGAACGAGCTTTCGTTTGTCTTCTGGATCTGGGCCGAAAGTCGGGAGACAGTCGTTGCGAGCTACCTGGAGTTTGCCAATAACGTAGTCCAGTACTACTCCAAGAACACTGATCGAACTCGAGTTGAAAACGAACTAGGACTCACAGGAGTCGAAGAGATGCTCAAAGTGAAGAGCATTCAACAATTAGATCCGTTAAGAGTCAAGGCTGTTGTCGGAGCCGTCAAAGACTGGTTGATGAGACCTGAAAATGACCGATGGCTCCTCATTTTCGACAATGTTGAATCATCATTCGATATATCCGACTTTATTCCCCTCACGCTCACTGGTAAGATTATCCAGACTTCAAGGGATAGTAGCAACTGTATATGGGGAAAGAAATTGCGTATCGGGCCCATGATAGATGAAGAAGCAGTGCAACTGCTTCGTTCTGCGGCAGGGGTCGAGACTTTGGGGGCCGACTCAGAAGGTATTTTGAACTCTTTCTTTCATATCATCAAGTCAGCTAACGATTCCATATAGGCGAGGCGGCATATAGATTAGTGCGGCAGCTCAAATGTCACCCTCAGAGCATAGCCATTGCTGCCTCTACTATCAGCAAGAAGGGACTCGAAATCTCCCAATACCAGAAGGAGCTCGATTCCAATATGCCGCTTAGGATACTAGGTTCCACGCTGGACCAGTCTTCCGTCACAAGAACAGTACTTCGTGTTAGCGCAATGCTTTCATACACAGTCATTCCTGTTGCCTTGTTCAGTCGGCCCAAAGAGCCAAAGCACACGCCTGCACGCTTTACGGATGCTTTTGCGGAAATTAGAGGTGCGTTCTCCCAAGTATATCCCACCACGAACTCATTTCTAATTGATAAACAGCATTTCAAGATGCAAACCGACTTGATGACGTTTTGCAATACCTTTTTGATCAAAACTTCATACAGACCGCTTCTTCTGATTCACCACCACCGTCAGCAACTTCATCGCCCAGCTCACCCTCAGCATCGCAAGACACAAATTCTTCAACAACATCGTTTGAGACTTTTAGACTAGACCCTGCGGCCCGTGAGTATGTGCGGGCAACACTCAAAGATGGAGAACAAAAGGAAAACGCATGGCTGGCCTGCAACATCTGCGTAGATGGCATTCGGGAAAAGGAGACAGCTTCATCGAGTCTGCCGGAAATCCACGACTTTGGAAGAATCATGGCTCCCCACGCAAAGACTTGTTATGACGATTGGTCTGGGATTCTAGAACACGATGAGGATGACGTCGCATGGCAGGTATTGGGAAATGTATGCATGACACAAGGTGCGATAGACCAAGCTATTGGTTGCTTTGAACTTTCGCTACGACAAAAATCGAATATAGACGCTAAGGAGAGGATCGAAACCTCCCTATCTCTTGCATCGCTGCTTCAACAAGCAGGACAGCACGAAAAGAGCGCAGAAGTCTTGACGAATATTGACTTGGCGTCGATTGACAACGCTCTAGGCTTCCGTGTTGCCCTGGCAAAAGTATCCGCCGCTGCTGCCTTGGGGAATTTTGATTATGTCGAGGACCAATATGGAATTATCGAGCATAGGCAAGAGGCAGAGCTTGGTCCAACAGATGCGGCGACTGTGAGCACGGTGCAAAAGCTCGCCTCTACGCTGGAACAGCTGGGGAAGATGGAGGAGGCGCAAGCGTTATATCGTCGAGTATACATCTCCTACCAAAGCATGTTTGGACAGAGCCACCCCATCACCGTTGAAGCTCTCGATGAGCTTGCCCATGTATCCAAGGAGAGCAACGCGATAGACGAAGCCGAGGCGCTCTACAAAAAGTCGCTTGAGATCAAAACCAGGACCCTTGGAGCCGAGCATCCTAGCACAGCTTACGCGATGCAGAAGCTGGCCGTTATTGATGATATGCGTTGTCGTTACGAAGATGCCAAGACAAAGTATCAAAAAGCCCTGGATATCATGGCCGCTTCACTGGGCAGAGCTCACCCTCTTTATACAGCTACGATGGAGGACCTAGCATTAAGTTCTCGCTGGCGAGCCCACGCATTGGGAGAGGAAGACGAGACGGGTTCGATTATCTCGTCCGGAACAGATACCCCGCCACGAGCTCTTCGTTCGCGAGCCCGACGCCGTTTAACACTCCAATCGATGAATACCATCACTCAGGCAGGTCACTCAAACAGATCCAAGGAAGAAGCCGTGCTTCGGGATGCTTCCCGTCGTCGGGCGTTTGCCGAGGCGGAAAAGCTCTACCTCGATGTGCTTGCTATAAAAAAGTCGGCGACTGAATTGTACCGTGAGGGAGAGGCCCTTGAGACGGGATCCAAGTTGCGAGAGATGTATGAGAGTGAGCCATTTTTCGACGACTGCCGAGATGAAAAAGTCTTGGCCTTGATGGGCCTTTTGAGAGAGATGAGAAGGAGAGGCACATTATAAGCCTCCACTCTTCGACGACATAAACTCTTTGTCTCCAAGGCTCTGAGTTTTGAAATGGGGACGTTGTTGACTCGTTGTGCCGGCTATAATTGAGATTTCGGGAATTGAAATCAATAACAAGAAACAGGCCGTGTGGCTCAATGGCAGAGCGTCTGACTACGATTAGTATATCAGGAGGTTGCAGGTTCGACCCCTGTCTCGGTCAATTTTTTGGTCCCCTTTTGCAGCTTTGTACGCTAGCTGCTCTTATTAGCTTTTCTCTTTTTTTATGCTTTTGTTTGTTCGGGCTTAGTTGGCTGCTAGTTATAATTTTTAACCATGGGTTGAGCGAGGAGTTTTGAGTTTTATTATTTACGATGAGGCCGCGTGGTGTTCGTGTAGCGGGATGGTAAGGTTCGGGAACAAGGTTTGCTCTTCATGTGGTGGTTTACAGTGTCATTTCGTCGTTAGGTTTCAGTGGTGTTTTCGGTACAACAAACGAGCTATGAATTAAGAAGCTTTTCTTTCCCATGAGTAAATACATTCATTCGTTCAGTCATTCACACATACAGCCAGTTGGAGTTGTATTCATTGGTAGTAATAATTGTGTAGAGAGACAATATGTGGATATATCTGGTGTGTGTGTATATAAATGTTTTCCAGTCATGTCCATCCTGACCCGGTCCCAACTCTCCAGCGCCATTCGTATAAAAAATTTCGCATCCATCCAATAAGATTCAGAATCTCTTCATTTGCATAGCTGCCAAAACAATGATAATAATACTCATCATACCCAACGAGTGACAGAGTTACTAAGTAGTAGTCACTTCACTTTCCAGTAATCCCCTTACATCCCCACGATAACATAATATATAATCAGCCGCACTCTCATACTCTTCACTGTTGCTGTTGCTGCTGCTGCTGCTCCTCAGCAGGCGGCGGCGGCGGCGGCGCAAAATACGCCTTCCCAGCCTCCACAAGAACCTGCTGATCAATACGCGACTGGGTATCGCCGTACTCGACCCTCTTCCACGTCGTGATGCGGGCCTCCTCGGTGTCGACCTCGAAGAGGCGCAGGCGGCGGACGTACCCGTCGTACCCTGCGTACCCGCCGAAGCCGATGCCGCCGGAGTAGCACATCCACATGGCGGGCACCTTTTGGACGTCGTCGGGCTTCTTCTCCGACAGGAGGGGCAGTTTCTCCTCCCAGCCGGGGAGGAAGGATTTGGTCTCGTCGCCGTGGGAGGAGAGGGAGCAGTAGTCGTTGACGTGGTCACTAGGGAGATATGGCGTTAGTAAAAACAAGGGAGCCAGTATAAGAGTTTATGTAGTTTAACTTACTGTCCGGCGCTGACCATGACGACGCCCTCGGCAATGAGAGCATCGTGGAATCCAGTGTTAAAGACGGGTGCAGTGACGCCTTCTTTCCATTCTCCCACACGGGGCTTATCCCAATCCGCATACTCGGTAAGGGGAATGTGAATAAAGGCAATGTCCATGTGTCGATGTGTGTATCCATCATGGTTCTTTTTAAGACTTGCGCTCGTTTTCTTGAACCAGTCAATCTGGTTCGGCTTCACCCAGTCATAGCCGGGGTAGTGACGCTCATCCGGGGAGTAAGAGTGAGTGTCGAGGAGATAGATGGTCAAGGCGGAGTGGTCGTTGTGGCCACGGGCCAGGACTTCGATGTAGTAGTTGCCGACGCCGTCGACGTCTACGGGCCCGGCTCGAGATAGGGAGTATGGCAGCGTCTCCATCAGGGCCATTTGGGCTTCGCGCGACATGGACTTTTCGTCGTCATGGTTGCCGAAGATGGCGGCATATGGTATTTTGCGCTCAATTAGGAGAGAGGCGTATTTATATATGGCCTGCGATCTAACGTCAGTATCATATATCATGACAAATTCACAGTTAACTTAAGCAGGGCAACATACCGAAGGTGCATCAGGGGCTGTATCCCCATTAACCTGGTCGCCACTCAAGATGACCAAGTCCGGCTTCTCTTCGTCAAGCATCTTGGTAAGGAAATCGAGGGTCCTGGGGTCAGCCTCGCATTTGCCCCCCTTGTAGCCATCCGGGACAGCATCTCGACACTCTCCAACGCCGGTGCTGAGGTGCAAGTCTCCCACTTGCATGATTTTAAATCGTCCATTATCGGGAATTCTAGGCTTCGGCTTCTTCACCTCATGGGGAGGTCCCCTCCGCACAGTCAGATGTGCGCTGAGGAGATTCCCGCCAGTGCCAAGATGCAAAGGTCTTCCGACAATGCCCCATCCGTTGCGCGCCTCAGTTGCGTCGTCGCCAAAGATGACATCGACATCCGTCACAGCAGCATCCGAGTCGCTAGACTTTTTATTTCTAGAGCGCTTCAGCCATATGCCACCCGGCCGCGGTTCCCAGTGCTCGTTCCCGTCGGAGACGTCCCCGGGATTCAGCGAACCGACAGAGACGCCGACGACAACCTCATCTTCAGCCGTCAACTCCTCTTCGTGCTTGCGACGGACGTGGAGGTATGCGCTCGATGTCCACGTCTTGCCCAGGTATAGTTCCTTTTCGATGCGGTGCCACTCGTTGGGATTCAGTTCGCAGGAGGAAAAGGGCTTAAGGCTGGAGCAGGTCGCAATGGTAATGTCGGTGACTACCAGGCCGGGATGGTGGGAGGGCATGTAGTTGTGGAGAGCATTGGGGAGGACTCTGTAGTTGCGATCGAGGAAGAAGATGATGATTGTGGTGATGAATGCTACGGCGCCCAGCTGCGTGAGCGTGCGAACCTGATGGAAGCAGCTTGTCAGTATTCAATGCTCAAGTCTCCTGCGCAAGTAGAACGGGCCAGCAACATACAATACGTCGCGTCATCTTGACTGCAGGCTGGGTATCAAACAGTAGGATCGGGTCTCGGGGATGCGCCGCGCAGCAAAGATCTGCTTAGTATCGCATCTTCATGCAAACGAGCATCGTGGAGGTGTTCACAGTCGGGATTCGGATATCAGATCAGATGCCACCTCAGCAATTCGCCGCCGCCGCGCGCACACGCCAGCAAGTAACAAGCGGCTATTCGTACAGCAATACAGCAATTCGGAATCTTTAGGGGAGGACGCTGAAGCTCTGGTCTGTTGCCGAATATCTGGTTCGTTGCAGGTGTCGACTTTTCGATGATAAGGCCATAATTCCACAACTCGATAGGATACGCAGTCAAGGGGTCAATACCGGGAACAGCGAGATGAGCCACCGCAATTGGTCCGAAGCCAAGTCGCCAAGCCGCCCCAGCCAGGGTTCTAGACGGCCTGGCTCCAGCGGGGAATACAGGAGCTGTAGGGAGCTCTAGGCCCTGTAAGTTTGCTGGAGGGGCCCCTAAAGCCGGCAGCGCCAGAGGCAACCAGGCACTAATGCAAGATCTAGCAGCTAGCGAGGCATCGTTGCACGGCACGGGATCGAAGAAGCAAAACTGGCCAATTTGCGGTGAAGAAATCCAACGTCATATTCTTATGGCATTGCTGGTGGGATATTACGACGATGTGTAAGTGGACAGTAATGGAATGAGTAGAGCTGCAGTTGCTATTGCTCAGCGGGATGAGTTGGTTGGCACTTGGGGGCTGAAAATTGATGTTATAAGGAAGATCCCGGGTAACATATGGAGAGATGGAAAGGGGAAACATTTGGGGGCAGCAAGTCTAACACGAACGGTGATATTAGTAGGTATTGATGCAAACAATGAATCAAAAATAAAGTAATAACTCATGGGATTCAATAGAAATAAGCATATGTCTCTTAAAAGATGTAAGTCCAAGTTACTTTGGCAGCAGTTCCTGGAGCTTGCAGAGCTCTTTTAAGCTTACTGGTCCGTGCGCATTCCTGGTGCAAATCACGATCCCCAGCCTCGTCCATCCATTCAGTCTCCGTAATAGCGGCCCAGATCGCGTCTCTTCCCATCTCGACTTTCTCTCTCCTCCCTCTTCGCCGTCTCTCCCCATCGCCCTTTTTCTCTTCTTCTCGCGCCGCTTCTCGGCAATTCACCTCGTTTGATTACATTTCGACCACGACCGACTTTTCTTCTTCTTTCGCTCCCTCAGCCTTCAATTCGTTCCGCGACCGCGACCGCGACATTCTTTTCTAACTCTCCGACTTTTTTTTCTCCACAATGGCCGATTACACTGCCCTCAAGGTGCCGGAGCTGAAGAAGCTCCTGGCGGAAAAGAAGCTGCCGCAGACGGGCAATAAGGCCGACCTTATTGCGCGCCTGCAGGAGGACGACAAGAAGAACGCTACCGCGTCAGCACCCAAAGCCGACAAGCCTGGTATGTAGCTGTTGCGCCTATCCATTTCTTTGCCGCAAATCATCACCACAGTCACCATCACGTCGAGCTGGAACGCGCGAAACGGAGAAAAACTACGTTGAGAATTGAATGGAACAGCGAACGCTAACAAAGATCCGCCCCCAGCCGAGTCCAAGGAGGACGAAATCAACTACAGCGACGATGAACCCTCTGCTGCCTCAAAACCTGAAAAGGAACAGGCGGCCAAGCCCTCAGAGAAGCCCGCCGCAGAACCCGCCGCCGCAGAACCCGCCGCCGCAGAACCCGCCGCCGCAGCTGCTGCTCCTGCAGATGAGGACGAGGCCAAGCCCGCCGAGGAAGCCGGCGACGAGCCCGCCGCCGAGCCAGCAGAGGCCAAGGAGCCCGCGCCGTCGTTTGCCATCGGTCTCTCGTCCACCACCGCCGACGAGGAGCTTAGGAAGCGCGTCGAGCGGGCCAAGCGCTTCGGCACCGAGCTCGACGACGAGACTAAGAAACTGGCCGAGCGGGCGAAGCGCTTCGGCGTTGATGATAAGGAGCTGGCCACCGGGCTTGACTCCGCGCTGCCCGAGAGGCCGCTGAAGCGTGGTCGTGACCGCAAAGAGGGCGACGGCAACAGGCCCGGCAAGCGACGCAGCCAGGACCGCAGGGAGCAGCAGCCCTCGGGCAACGAGAGGCGCAGCGGCCGCAACAAGGGCAATCAGAACCAGGGCGGCAAGGGCGCCGGCAAGCCCAAGTTCAGCAGCATCATAGAGGATCCTGCTGAGAAGGCAAAGGCCGAGAAGCGAGCTGCCAGATTTGCTGCGGCGTAAAGAAAAAAAGAGTCAGCCGCAATGTTTTTGCTGTGAGTTTTTGGGAAAAGGGGGGAAAAGAGAAATATCTGGAGATGAAATTCTATCTTTGTAATGAGAAGGTCGTTTTTTGGGAGGGACGAAATGGGAATGTATATCATATGAGAGCGCTTTTTCTAATAAGAGGCTAAAACGGCGTTGTTCGGGTTTGAAAGCTACATTGTAATGTTTGAGAGTAAATTTGCTGTGATGCTGTTGCTGCTTCTGTGATGCTTCTGTTGCTACTTGGACCTCTGTATGGTATGTGGTGATTTATGATGGTTACGTTGGTCGTATTCACAGGATACCTATACTCGTACGCACTTCTGCTTTGGCCCAAGGGCACGCTCCTCAAACGACAAGGAACAAAAATCCCTTGATCCATAAACGGCCCTTCTCCCAAACGAACCCAGCAGTGATAACTTCATCTCATCACCGCAGCATTCACACAACATTCACAAAGGAACCAAGTGCAGAGGGTTTTTCACATGCAGCAAGAAAGAAAAAAGACGCACATCATCAACACTATCCTCCTCCCTTATGCGTAACATAGAGAGATCAAGCTATCACAATCACATATACTAAAACCCGTGATCTCCGCTCCATGCCCACATCCTAGCTCCCATCACACATATCACACTCACTCCCCGCTCGCCGAAAAAGACACGAAAAAAATGGCCTCACGGGAAGATGAGATCCTCCGGGCACCACACTCTCTGGCTTATCTATTTCGCTCCAGTGTGATGTATCGTCTAATCAAAGACTACTCGTAAATACTAGTTATATAACCAAGGGGGGGGGGGAGCAAGGCGGTACTACTGCTACTTTCGTACTTACGTACGGGTACTACGGGTACGGGAAGTCAATCTTAGTCCGTGAAGCTAGCTTGCAGAGATTTTTTGCGAGATATCATATTTCTACTATTCCCACATCCGTTTCAGTTGGACGGTAGTGGGCTTTGGTCTCGCTGAATAAGAGGCCAAGCTTACGCGCCGGGCAATGCAGGCGAGAGGGATGTCGCTAGTCGCCCTGGCAGCTGGAAGTGGGTTTTGACAGAGGACCAATAGTAGCGAGGAATATCTTGGTGAGGCATCTGGTCTAGAAGATGCTAGTCGAGCTATTAGACTAAGAAGGATATTCTCGGGGAGAAGCATCAAAAGTGTTAGGCGCAGCAAACGGAAATATGAAGGAAGAGAAAGGGGGATGACTGCTCGGTTTCTCCTCAGCTGAACCACAGACATGAGGTTGTATCGTCGACATGATCGTGATTCGTCCCCAGACGTCAACACCGCTTTCGACTTAGACCGAGACGAGAGAGAAAGCCCGAGTGCGCCCTTTCTAGCTCTTTCTCGCGCATGCTCCGGCTCATATCAGGTATCTGCAGGCCAAGGGACGGTTGGCCAATATGACAACAGACTAAGCTGATTGTCCGAGACATCCAACATAAAGAAGAGTCGTGCCAGAAATATGCAGCAGGGGGGGCAAAGAATAGGTAGTTTACATGTAGTCAGATATCAGCTGCTGCGTCAATCAGTCAACAGAGGCCAATCACTCGGCATCCGGGCAGCCCTTTCAACTCCGCCACCAACATGATGTGTCATACGGATGGACCAACAGGAACTTCAACAAAAGATCCATCCCAAGTCGCCGTGAGAAGTCGTTTGGGACCAACGCGCTAATCCCGCATTTCGAGCAAGAAAAGCTGCTTCCACTGATAATCAAGCGCCCCAACCACACCAAGGAATCTAGCGGCTCGCTCGGTCGTCGATTTTGGAGGTGAGACGAGCAGAGAGCAGAGATTTCACCTCGGCGAGCCAACGTCCGTGCCTTGTTCCCCACGTGTGTAGACCCAGTCGGCAGCCATGATTCAGTGCAGAAGAGGCAGAAGGCCCAAGGAGTGGTTGGATGGCGTTGGACAGTGAGGCACTTCTCGTCACGTTACTTGGAGACGTCGAAATCCGGGAGCCAATGGCATGCCGGAAACCCTTGTTGAGCTAAAGCGAGATGGGGTCCTCGCCTGGCGTCTTGCGCACTTTGATATTGATCGATGGGCAAATGGGGTGTGAAGGTTTGGAAGGGCAGGGGCCGTGGCCTGATTCGCTAGCCGTGCTGTGAGAGAGTTGTGGTTTCAACAGCAGCATACGATACACGCAAGAACAGGTATATGCCTCTTCGGTAATGTGCCGTGTTAGTAAACAATGCCGACGTTATTATGCCTTGACAAGCCGACACCGGTCAGCCCAAGTCCAGAATGCCTTGTCTCGGTCCCGAGTGACTCTTGCAATGCATTGATCCATGTTTGGGCAACAAAGGCAAAGAAAGACAACGAGACACGTCATGAAGGCCAAAGAATGCAATGGCTGCATACGATGGCAATTCTGTGCCTCCAAAATGTCGTCAGCAAAAGCGCCGGCCTTGGATCTGGCGATTTGACATCAGCCACAGGCCACCAGCCCCACCAGGCCAACTGCGGGAGCGGCCACAGCGGGACGTGCCACGTCACAAGCCTCACTTTGTTCCCAGCTATTGGCCAAGTGTGGCGAAGCACCGTCAATGCGTGTCGATATTATTAGACAGGTTGCCTCCGTCCCATCTTGATGCCGGCTTTGGCATTTCGTTTTCGTTTTCGAGATATGCAAGAGATGCAATGCGATGCCAACAAACAGTCGGTCGGTGACTGATAGACATGGCCAGCTCATCCAGGTCGCCACTAGCTTTCCATGCCCTGGATGCAGCTTTCAGCTCCGTTGTGCACCCCGAGCTGTTGGGCCAAGGCATACACAAAGCACGGCTTTTGGAGAATGACTGTCCCGACATCTGCCGCATGCTTAGCGTTCGGGATCAGGGCGTGCGGCTGCAGGGAGAGCAAAGGAAGACCTGTTGCTATTATTGTCAATCCTGTACCACGCCGTCTTGATTTGCTCATCGTATGGGCCATCATGGATCAAGTGCTCCGTACTCTGCCGGGCTTTGCTCAGCAAGACGGGTGCGGGAAACCATCACGAGACCCAACCCGGCAAGCTGTTCGACTTCTCAAGGATTCCGGTTGAGGTTTTGCAATGGCGATATAATCAATTTGAGTTGCAAAACGGCTGAGGCATGTTGTGTAATTAGCATGCTGGGGTACGTTCCTTGTTTGCTAGTGATGTTGAGAACGAGGCGTTCTGGTTATCGGGGGTATCCTGGCGAGCAGGGGACGGGAAAGCATTCAGTTGGGTCGAGCAAAGTGATTGGAAGAAAATCAAAAATAGTAGCCAATGGCAGCGCAGAAGCAGCCGCCCTTCTCCTCAAATATTGACGAATCGCCTCTTTTGCCAGGTTCAAAAAGTACTTGACAATATGTACACACTCGCTGAGGCCGTGCGTTTGATGAGAGAAAGTGGACAAAGTGAGCCTCCAAAGCCGGATGCCCACTTGGAGTGAAGACCCTGGTCATCCTTGCTTCCGCGGTGTGATAGTGGTGGTGCGACAATTTGCGGCTGGCCTCCGGGATTATCTGTAGTGTAACAACGGTCTAATATGTGACAATATCGGAAATGACAAGGGAAAAAAGAAGAGGAAAAAAAAATTGCACTTCTGCTAGCAATTATTCCCCTTTGCCGAAGGGCTGGTCGAAAAGCACGAAGCAGATAGGGCCGCAAATGCATGGTGATCTGCTAGTAGCCATAGCTTGTAATGCTAATGCTCCCCAGCTGGTTACATGCAGACGGAAGATGCATCAGAGGCCTATGCAGGAGCATCTCTCAAACCTGAATAACGGCCGACATCTGTCCGTCTAGGCGTTCATCTGGAGAGCAATGGATACGGGCGTAGGATTCAGTGCTACCACCGCACAATATCCAGGCCTCGCGGGTTGGTGTCTCTCGGGCAACGGGATGACTGTTGCCCGTGCGTGGATGCAAGAGTGTGTGAGGAGAGGCGTGGAGCGTGGATGCAGGTGTTTTTTGGTTGTTCGCCAATTGAACGAAGGGATTCATCTCCCAGATCCAGACAGACATACGCGCTATTCGTGCCTAGCAGACGGCCAGAGTTAGCATGTATGTAGGTCTACAAGTCTAGTAGTTAGTGTTAGTACGCGGACAGGCCTGAAGCTATTATTACATACCAACCAGCGCATGGAGATGACATGAAGAGGCGAGATGGAGGCAGATGGATCTATGCGGGGCAGATGGAGAGAGACTGAAGCTTGACATGTGCAAGTTGATGTGCGTGTCCTGTAGCGAGAAGGACGAGTCGATGCTATGCTGGTACTAGCAAAAAGTGCGGAGTAATACCTGGGCCAATGTACCTTCTCATCAAATCAATACGATGGATGCAGTGCGAACTAACTTACGCCTTCCTTCGCCAGCTACAGATACCGAGCAAACTAACAAATTAACAGGCAGCACCCTTTGGAGCCTGCACACCACCCCGTTGGCTCTCACCCTCCATGGCCTGCAAAATTTGACGCCCACCGATGCCGTCCAGTAGGAGAAGGTGGATAAGCTAACGGCGCAGATCGTGCGGAATGCTGAGACATGCAGACACCTCGTCCTCTGGATCGACCTGTCGGAGTCGACAGAAATGAGACATACATGGCCAGGCAAGACATGTCTCAGACATGCATACAGCCTCTAGCAGTCTAGCAGACGACACCCGGCTGTGGCTGATGCCCTCTTCCTAAACGGGCGTAAGCTCGGCGACCACGCCCAGCTGCCTCTCAGTCTCGCGTGCCGGGACATGAGGGAGGAGGACATGGGAGATGGCGAGAGCGAGAGGGAGTGAAGGGTGCCATGTGGCCGCCAACAACAATAGCAACAACGCCTCTCGATGTTGATAATGACGGTGACGACGATGATGATGATGGCACGACGACGACAACAACGGCCACGACGACGGCACTTGGCCTTGAGCAAAGCGACCGAGATGGGGGCATGTGGCCGTCTGGCTGCCTACTCCGCCTCAGCCTGGACGTACGTTCAATATGCTGCAATTGCGCGCGACGGCTAGCCTGGCAGCGACGACGACATCGCGCGCCAATGAGTCCCTCGCACGCTGGATTCCCTCGGCCTAGTCCTCGCCGCTGGGCGCCTCCAGGAACCATGGCAGCCTTTCATCTTCAACGGCGAGGCCAAGCGGAGAGCTCAGACCCTCGGCCGCCCCACCGCTTGCTGGGGATTTGTGATGCTTGGACTGCCAGGAACAGACGCTGTGGCCAGCCCTCGTGCCCAATCGCCGCCTCGCCCTGCCCGGCCTGGCTCTGACGAGATTCCATAGGACCACGGCCGTGCTTTTCATGCGCATGGCATGGCGGCGCAGCTGCATCTGCATCTGCAGTAGCAGCAGCGCAGTGCCACTGATCTCCCCAAGCTTCCGGGACCCTAGCATGGCAAGCATGGACACAGACTGGCCATCGCACTGCCTCCGATCGGCCACATTTGACCGCCGCCCAAGGCCGTACAGTGGCCAGGAGGACAGCATGCCATCATCTGCTTTGAGCATCTTTGCCGTCTGTAGTAGACGTGGACAGTGACAGCAGAGCATGCCTCTCCACAGGTACCACTCCCAAGGCTTTCCCAAGCAGTTGTGTCAACCACTCACGATGCCCCAACCGGAGGCCTTCATCGCCTAAAGCAGCATGACACCCACGAGATGCCAATGATCGTGTCTACAAAGGCTGCTGTGCTCTTCCCTCCACTCCAAGCAGCCTCATCCACCTGCTTTCCCCGCCTCTCTCTCAGTCTTGTCAATAACCAAGTCTCGTTGGTTTATTCTCAGTCCCGACCACCGGGCCTCGTTTCGCCACTCCACACCTACTCGTGCTTCTTTGCCACGCTTGTATTCGCAAAGGGACCAATCGATCCCCAGCTGGCAAAATCCTTTCTCAACTCGACAGCCCCCTGTCGTTTGCTCCAAGCCAAGGGCTCTCTCGGCCTGGCTCAGTCAATTTTAACCTACTCACAAGCGCTCTCTCAGCAGCACTAAGCTACTCCGTGCCTAGTTCAGCTTATTCCCGTCTCGGGCTGCATCCCCACTCCTCCGGTCCTCTCAGTCTGCCGGTTCTTTTATACTACCGGCACTCCATCGTTACATTGTTCCCTTTTCGTGCACAATAATTTCTTTTTTCCCTTCCTCGTTTATTTCTTGAAATAGCCACTTACCTTCGCTTTGGACCCCTCGACGGAAGTTTCTTTGCCTGCTCCGGAGCTCTTCGACAAGACTCCCTCGTAATCTGCCTTCATTACCGGATTTGGCTGTACCTTATCGTGTACCAGCAGCTCTGCTAATAGCCAAGCTTTGACCTGAGCTCGCGGCCAACAAGGTGAGCAGGCTCCTTTCTATTAATTAATCACTGATGGGTCGAATTATTACCTGTGCTATTTCCCAGCACCTCAATTACTACATGGTAGTTACGTTGCATCTGCTGACATCTGTTCAAGACCAATTCTTGACGTGAAATACCCTTTGAACAAAGTATGCATCTCTATACATCATAAGAGGCATGTTTGGAATACTACAAACATCCCACGAGGTTGGAACAGTATGGCATCCCCCAAGGCGGGATATGGATTACCAGTCAGGCCATCCGATGGCTTGCGAAGGCGGCCCGAAGACTCGAAGCCATTAAGCGGCATTCCCAAATCTACCTCCCGGACGAGCGAGAGAGAAACGGATATCCCGAGACTGGTAAAACAAGACTCATCACTGCCGCGTGCGGCTAGTCGAGTCCCTCTTCCATCTTCAACACGCCGCCCCTCTGCTACTACACAGCAATCCGTCCCAAAGATTGTTCCAGATCGGCAATCAAAGTCATGGGGCTCTGCCACGAGCTCCTCTGGCTACTCACGATCCCATACACAAACCGAATCAGGTTCCTCCTCTTCTAGCCGGTCATTTGATAGTAGCTCAAAGTTGGGACAAAATGTGCCGAGGCGGAAAAAGCCCTCTCTATCGCCTGAGGTCGGCACTCTGCCTAGTGGCTCTCCTGGTGTAGGCCCTAGTTCCCCCAAGGGTCAACCGCAGGTGATGATGGATTCGGCACTGGGTATTCAGTTCAATCGAAACATAACGGCCAGCCCAAGCACCATTCAAAGAGAAGAGCCAGCTTCGAAGCCGGTCGGCCAGTCTCCTGTCATCTACCCTGAGCTGGATCGCTATCGTCATTACGATCGAGTGCACAATGCTTTGAATAGACAGGCCCCGGACATGCCTTACCGCTTAGCTACACATGACCTTCCGCCGCCAACTCCTGGGAGTCTGCTCTTCTCTGCCAACAGCAGTCAGGTTAGCGCCATCAGTGGTAGCCCTTCTACCAGATTTTCTGCATCGCCTGGTCCGGGGCCATACAGCCGAGACACAACGCCAACCTCAATATCATCTCAGTCCCCTGGCCTCGTTATTCCCAGCCGCGGCTTTCCATTGGCAAAAATTCGACAGCACAGCCCCGCCTTTACTCGCCCACCTGTTACCCGACGAAGGACGGGGAGTATATCAAATGAGGTTGATATTATAAGCGTTGATCCCCACGGCCTTGCTGCGGTCCGAGAGTCGTTGACTTCCTCGTCATCAAGCTCTACTGTCAAGGCCGGCATCAACCCAAAGAAAGAAAGAAGAGGTGGAAAGAATTTCGCCGCACCGCCGCAAAGTCCTCCTCCACGGAAGTCGTCGCAGAAATTCCTCTCAAGCGAAGATGAAGAAGAGCTATCTCCCAGACAAAAACGCAGACCAGAGGCCCAGCCAATGAATATCTCATCCCCGCCAAAATCTGCACTCCCGCTTCGCAACTATCAATCACCTTCGCCGCAGGCTATGCCACCGCGCCGACCCAGTCGAGAGGGCACCTCTGACCTCAAGTCCCAGCTGTATACCATTCCAGTCATCCAGAGTAGCTTGGCACTCAGGGCAATCAATTCAGAAAGACGTGATAGTGAGACTACAATGTCTCCTCCACCTCCGCTTTCAACTATGCAGACCAACAAGAGTGCATCAACATCGAATCTACTCACGTCTGAGCAACCTACCTCATCAGGCAAACTGACGAGCAGGAGAAAGCTTAGCGTGTCTGGCCCACTTGTGTCTGGCCCATCTCGACCGACTGCTAATACGCCGTCCCCAAATATTAAGAGCTCTGGCCCTCGTTTCCCGTTCTTTGGGCGCAGAAAAGCTTCTTCAGAGAACGCGCCCACTGAAAAGGACAAGAAGGATAAGGATAAACAGAAAGTATCTCGAAAGGGTCCGGCAGCTGGCACTGGTCATGAAGGGTACGGACGACTTGGTGCTGTTCGGCGACGAAGCGGAGTCATTGCCAATCCTCAAAAATCCAATGAGAGCCTTGTCAGTGGCGACTCTTTCCTGGCTGATCGCATCAATCCTGTCGTGATTGCTGGAGGAGCTGTTGTTGAGAACCGAAACGCCAGTGCAGAGCTCACTAGGACGGAGAGCAATATGAGCTTCACAACAAACGAACGTCCAAGCATTGATTCAATAGCCAACTCAACTACATCTTCCATTTCAAGGGATGTGCCTGGAACAGGACTTTGGCCCTCGGCTATTCCCCGTGGGCAGAATTACACGAATGCTCGAAGGCCATCTGACAGCGACGCTAGCAGTGTGGCTATGGGTTCTACTCTGGCATTTAGACGATCCGTTCAGCGGTTGAAGTCATTTCCAGATGACCCTCTACAACTGCCACGACCAATCAACACCAGTGGCGTGATTACATCGCCCATGACTAGCTTTGATACAAGCATCATGTCTGATGAATCTTCCATCTTCAATCTTCAGCAACAGCCTTCTCATGAAATTCCCAATCCTCATCCGGCTCCCAAGAAGCTCAAGAAAAAACCTCGGTCTCCAAGGAAATGGAACTTCTTCAGCAGATCGAACAACCAGCCCAAGCCAGACAAGACAAGCGAACCTGTTGCCGTCACTGTACAGCCAGTGGAGAAGAAGCCGGTGGCGTTCTACACCATTATGGATTCACCTGAGCAAGAATCAGCCCAGCCTGTAGACCTCAAGGAGATTTTGCGCGAGGCAGATGCCTACGCGCGCTCACCTGCCAAGATAAATACTCCTGAGTTGCAGGTAGAGGAAGCCCAGTCGTTTGTTACCTCACGAATGCAGCCTTCGGCGAACATTCTACCACAGCCTCTCTCACCAGTACAAGACTACTTTTCTGTGGCCGACGAGCCAGCTGTTTCTCGTATGGAAGGTTTACCTCCTGCAGCAGTAACACTGAGCTCTGGGAGACCTAGTCGCTTGGCACAGGTGGGAAGGATACCGCAGGTGGTGAGCAACCGTCAAGAAGGGCCCTCTCCCCGCAGTTTCTCTCGGCCTTTTATGGGAAATGAGCAACTTTCTTTGCATATACCCAAAACACGCGGTCCAGGCTTGAATACCAGGATGCCCAATTTTTCAAAACCATCTCCCATCCCGGATACCAGTGGTGGTGACGGCTCAACGACGGATGCGGGCACTGAATTTTCCTTCTTCAGTGAACCCAGGTCACGTCTATCTCCCGAGCCTACAACTACACAAGAATTTCTTGCCTTTTCTCCCCCTCGAAAGGATTCTGACTGTACAACGAGCTCGACTGAATCTTGTGTTTCATACAATTATGCAGAGGCAACTGCTGTTATTCCCAAGCCTGACGACCCACCTGCAGATGATGAGGTCTGGGATGAATATGACGATCTTCTGGGAGAAGACACCGTTAAAGCTCGGCAGTCTACCACGTCTTCCAGGGGTATTCCGTTCCATCTCGAAACCTACCAAGTGAGGCTGGCAAGAGAGAAGCCTCTCGAATCTCTCGAATCTCCAACAATCGTCACTGATCACCGTAAGCTGTCAACCATTTCAGATGCGCCGACAGCTTCTACTACCTTCAGTGCCGATATGACAGAGAGAATTCGAAAGGCCTTTCAGCCCCATCCTAGCCCTACGGTGCCGTCACCTGTGCCAGAGGTTGCAGAACAGAGCAATGGCCGGCATTCTAGGAAGCCTAGCGCCGCTGAAACCATGCGTCACAGCATCGCCTCTTCCCGCAAGTCTAGGCAGTCTGGCTCGTCTACCTCTTCTGAAGAATGGACGCCCCTGGCCCAGGTGAACCTTCGTGTAGGTTCCATGACCGTCTCCAAGTGGCTTAGCTTTGGCCAAGTTCTCTTCAGCGACATTCGACATGGACTGGGTCGGGGCCAAGACTCTGTCGAGCGCCCATCAGTTCTCGTCATTGACGGGCTTGGTAATGACGATTGGTCATTTTATGCCGCGGAAACATACTCGGCTGCCCAATTCTTCAACCTCTCTCCGCGAGCCCCTTTGCCTACACCCGATGCAGAAAGCTCGGCATCGCGCTATCCCCTAAGCCCTCCCAACCATCGTCAAGTACAATATCTTTCCCACCTCGATGAGTTTCCCTTTGCTTCGAATACTTTCAACTGTGTTATCTATCGATTCCCGGCGGCTGCTCCGGAATCTCACTATGAGAATATCCTTTCCGAAGCCCGCCGTGTTCTCAAGCCGGGCGGATATCTTGAGTTGTCTATTCTTGATGTTGATCTCAACAATATGGGCAACCGCGGGCGCCGTACCATTCGTCAGCTCAAGGAACGCATACATGAAACGTCACCAGAGACTAATTTGGCGTCTACTGCTGATTTAATCGTGCGCCTCCTGGGCAAGAGCGGCTTTTCAACTATCAAGGCTGCCCGCGTTGGCGTTCCGGTTGCAAGTTCAATCACGTCCTCCGATGACAATTCAAAGGGCAAAGGCTTAGCTGAGAAAAAGGCGAAAAAGTTGTCCAAAGACCAGCCTAGCTTGGCGGAAATGATGCGAGACCAAAGTCCAAACGCAGACGAGGGCATTACCAACATGGTATCCCGAGTTGGGCGTTGGTGGTATTCTCGATGCTATGAAAACACAACCAGCCATTCTTCTGGAAAAGACAGCATCTGGAACAATAAGGCCTTGCTCAGGGAATGCGAAGAACTGGGCACCAGCCTCAAGCTGATGGTCTGCAGTGCCCGTGCGCTTTAGACGATCGACAAACTCTAATCATGCCCCCCTCGGTGCTTTATAACCTGTTTTATATCTATTTCTTACTCTGTTTTTGTTTCATTATATCTTTCATTGACTCATACCTTCCTACTGGTACTTGGAAGCAACGATACTGGAAAAAATTCTCAAGATTGGAAGACATGGCGCAAGCCAATCCTCAAGACTGGATCTTTAACGAGCATGATTCGACCTTCTTTTATCTTCTCTTTCTTTTCATCTTTATTTCCACTTTTTTCTCAGTATCTGAAGGGTTGAATCCTTAATAACGAAAATCCGAGACTGCCACCCTCCCTTCAACGAATGAGTCGCGAACAGCATATATACGATGGCTGTTGAGTCTCTGTTTAGCGTGCGCTGCATTTAAGTCATACTGCTCGTTTCCTCATTTTCTATTCTTTTTCACTTTTGTATCACGCCGCCGGACGGAGGACTAGTTGCCGGACACAAGACCGATTTTACTCTGGAAGATTTTTTTTTCTCGTTTCAAATATGGCATTTGGGGTTAAATATTAATGGAGATGGCTCGCTCCCTTTGGAGGACACCGAAGCAGAACGCAATGGCAGGCCGGCGCGTTCTGCGGATGTGTCCTTTTGGAAGGGTAACTCTCGACATTCTGAGATTGCAAACGAGAGGAAGAGCGCCAGGGGAGGATTTTATACGAAGGAGGGTAAAAAAGTGGGATTTGGGGTTTTTTGCTGCTTTTTTATGAGCGATTATGACGACGATGACGATAAACATGAATACCTTTTTTTCTTTTTCTTGTAAGCGCTGTATATAGAGATACCCGCCAACGATTGGTAGAAATTTGAGAGTGAGAATGTTTTTGGCTGGGACTTTAAACTTTTTTGCACAAATAGCGAGCGGAAGGCTTTTTTGAATTGATATGTTTGTGGTTTAAGATTAGTTTGATGACTGGTATTCGTGATTATGAGGCAGATATGGCTGACTTGTCCCATCTTGTAGAGTGGAAGATTTATTCTTTGCTATCAAGTGTACATGGTTTCTATGATCTAGTCTAGCAATGTCTACACAAAATATCCCTCTAGTAAATATGTAAACGATGCAATATATACAAGAAATTGCCAACACATCATCCTAGGCGAGATGTCGGTTTCACTCTTGGGCCTCTGGTTCTTCAGGGGCTTCTTGGACGGGCACCTCAGAAACAGGCCATCGCCGCAGTACAGCCACAAAGCCTCCACCAGCAACACGCTCGCCTACTCTTGGTCGCATCACCTGTACCGGCTTATTGTTGCCGCCGTCGCCCTGCTGCGCTCTCGGCACTACCGTTTTAACGTCCCAGTGTCTTCCGCCAGAGCTGTCATGTACACCACCGTCTGATGCAGTAGTAGAATACAGTTCAATGACTTTTTCCATGCGCACAGGCTGCTTTGTCTCGTTGGACCAAGCTTGGAAATCGGCGATTTGACTAATGGAGGGCTTGAAGAGGATGAGGAGGCCATTGGGATGCAAGGCCTCGATTACACGTTCGGCGTTTTCGTGCGCTGATGGGAGATCGAGAATGGCGCGAGAAAGGAAAGGTTGTCCACCTGTTTGTTCAAGCCTCTGACTTATAAACTCGTCTACAGAAGTGACGTGGAAATCGACAGAGGGCAAGTACTGCGCACGACGAAAGTTGCGAACGAGCTTATATGCAGCGCGAGCATGCTTCGAGTTGCGATCGAGAGTGTGCAAGACTGCGCGACGGGAAGAAGCATATGCATCGAGAGCAGCTTGTTCCTCGGGAGAGATTTCTAGACAGCCCCTCGAAGTGGCGAAATCGTAACGAGCTTTGAAGGGGGAGGAGATGAGGATTTGTCGGAGAGCAGGTGGTAGAGGCGGATTTGCTGCGTGTAGGGCACGAGCGATGTGGAGGGTGAGGCTGCCCATGCCTGTGCCGGCTTCGAAGATTTCGAAGGGAGGAGCTTCATCGTCTTGGTCGTCTTCGCCGGGACGAGAGGGATTGAGGTCGAGAAGAGAGACGATTGTGTTGGCGTCGTTGGGATAGATCTGCAACTTGTTTAGCTAACTCAAATCTACCAGCGCACTCGAATTTATGAAGAATATTTACCGGTGTGGCAAGACGCTCGCTATTAATGATGTAGCTTGCAAGAGACGGTTCATGCAAAACTACGGAATTGCCAGCGCTATCACGGACCACATCGAGAATGCGACGGCCGATCAGCTCAGACCCCGGGATGGAAGCGCCATACGAAAGCCTCACACGGGAGTCTGGCTTCAAGGGTGCCGAGAGGTGCCATTTTGCGTGCTTGGCTCCATGCTGGCGGAGGAATAGGACGTCGTACTCTGTGAGGAAAAAAAAGAAGAGGTTTGTTTGTCTGTGTCTTATTTTGTTCGGGAAGCTGGTTCGAGAAGCTCCGGAGGCGTACCTTTAATTGTGCGATTCGATGAAGAGTAGAACCGGCGAAGGACTTTGCTACTGCTGCTATTGGTATGGAGTTGTTGGAGATGTTTGGAGCTCAATTGGCCGCGAAACAGCGACATGTCGAACGGTCTTGATGGGTGGTGAGAAAAATGCCGGTAGTGGTGGTGGTAATGAGGTCACTGGAAAGGTTTGCGCCGGTGATACCTCGGAATGGAGTTTCCCGAGATGGATTGTTTCCCTTTTAACTGTTATAATTCTAATAATATATAAATCAATCAACCAATAAGCAATTTTAAATGAATATATTTTATAAGGGCCAGCCGTAAAATAATGTCATCATGTCTTTATTCATTACCAAGATTTTAATACTAACGGCAAGTCAAGTAGAAAAGAAGGTGCGATGAGAAATCAGGGTGCTATCGTGCCTTCCCAGAAGGACGATCTGGTCTACCATCTGCATGACAATTGCCTCGTCCGTTCCTGCCATCCAAACTCCAGCCTGCCGCCTTCCCAGATAGTGCAGGAAATGCTCGATAAGGTATTTTTTCTGCTCAATTTCCAACAACTCCAACGTTTGCCCTTTTCAAAAGTCTGGGGGTTTTGTCTCAGCCATGCCAGACCCTCAACATCGTGTCCTCCCCTTGCGGTCTTCGGAAACACGAAAAAACAACGCAAAAATACAACAAAAAACAACAACTCATTCATACTATTATACACAGATGCACGCGCATCCAGCTAAGAAGCCTCCAAAACGCCGGCTCGAGGTGCAACAACTTGCGCGCAAGGAGACAAATAAACCAAAGGAAAAACGACTTGTCAGCGTGAACTAGACGACAAAGGAAAATTCCACGATGGTGAAAAATATCAGCCGTCCAAAACTCCAGGCTCGATATGAGATGGCAAACGGCACAGAACTGAAATCGTCGCTATGCGCGCCCAAACCCCCTTGATGCTGGGTATCAACCGTCCGCCGAGATTCGACAAAAAGATCCCGACAAGTCATGCTCGCCAAAACGCGTGTTGCCGACTCTTTTCTTTTCTTTTTTCTCGACAAGATAATTCGTCATGAGTAAATGAGAGACAAGGTATCGTGATACCTGCTATCTGCGCTAGTTTGGCTTGGACGAGTCCAAACCTCGAGGATGCTTCGCTAGATGAAGCCCCATGATCTGCTCGACGTGCCCATCTGCATAGCGGCGGCCCATGAATTCTGTGGTTCTTGGGCGTGCTCGGTTGTGTGGAAGTCCTCCTCGAAATAAGGGTGAATTCTCACTCCCACATGCTCTTCTATGATGGTGACGAGCGAGTCGTACCGCCTTCGACATCTCTTTGTCCATGGGTCGACTTTGAGAGGGCTGTGATAACAATAGCTATTCGGGCGGGAGTCGCGCATGAGATGCATGGTTCCCATATTTCGCAACATGTTCCAATAATCGTTTGCAGCTTGTTTCGCGGCATCTGACTGAGGAGACGCCGCATACACAAGGAGCAGTATGGCATATCGAATAGACACAACTTCGACGCTGGAGTGGCCATGACGCTGCTCGAGCTGCCTCTGCAGGACGCGGAGCTCAACAACCAATTTTTCCAACCTCTCAGGGTTCACCTGGTTATAAAAGAGTGCGAGATCGGCCCAGGTTCGAGCCACATACGGATGCTTGCGTCCATAAATGGCTTCAAGTTCCTCTGCAATCGTGGAAATACTGGTCCACAAGAGTTCAGATAGTGTCTGGGCTCCATGTTTTTGCTGCACCTCATACAAACAGGTGAAGATTTGCCGAAGAGGATGTGTGCGCTCCAGATTAGTCGTCGAGTATGCTGCCAGGTATTTGCACAAAGCTGTCATCATGCCGGGATCGCGATTAATCATACCCAAGATGAGTTCCATGATGCCTTGCGGTGAAAGTTTCCTCAGGTCCACCTCGAGCTGTTTGAAAGCCCGCATTAGGTAGTCACCACCTTGGTCTGCGTCGCGAGCTTCGAAATAAAAGTTGGCCTCGACTAATAGTTCGCTTGATCCGGCTCCCCAAACCATGGTCGACGGCCAGCCAATTTGCGTCTCCGTCTCCATTTCAAATTGCCGACAGTGCAAAAATGCTTTGCGCATGTTCCCAACCACAACCTCTTGTGCGCGAAGGAGATCCGGAGACCGAAGCGCTGGAGGTGGTGTTGGCGTTCTGCATCGGATATGAGCTGGGAGATCGGCTGGCAACTCAAAGTCTACCAAGTCATACTCCGTCACTCCTTTTCGTTTCAAGTAAGTACCCAGATTTACCACTCTACCGTTTCGGACAAATTCGGAAACTTTGCCCTCGGCATCGCGCTGGAACTTCATCGACAATAGCCGCTTTACCTCTTCTTCTGTGTTGTTCTTCACGAAACCCCATTGAGAAAATCTAGTCTTGTACATCTTGGGTCTGGGGGAAGGGTCAGATCTGCTTCAGGGAGATTTAAAAACACAAGGGAAAGAAGAATTCCCGACTCACGTTGCTTGAAAGCCATATTTGTCGGCCATGATGCTCATGACTTCTTTCAATGGTTTTCTTTCTTCAAGATAGAGGGTTTTGATGGTGGACTTATATTGCTCCCAAG